CCGGGTCCGTGGCAAAATACAGCTGCTGAAAATCAAAACTATATTTAATAAGCACTCGCGTTCAGTTGGCTTTAAAAATAAATATAGTCGAACTTGCACTGCACCCACTTTTCTGGCGATTATCCTTTGACGCGGATCAGGACACACACTCGCAAATGGGGGACACGCGCGGAGCAATTGTGGGAATCGCAACCAGGCCGAGTCGCTGCCGTATTGTAACTGAAACTTGAAGTCGAATGTAGCCAACCACTTGGCCAAAACGAAGACGAAGCCAGCGAAAGAGAGAAACGCAGTCGAGAGAGAGTTGCAATCTCTTCTTCGTCGAATGGTTAAAGATGGACCCTCCTCTCACCTCGTGGTGGGTTTTGTGGTTCAACTTGAAGATTCCGATACCAGATTCAAGTATTCTCAATCAAGGCATCGAAAGTGAATCTGGATGCCAGCAGCGAAAAACAAAAAACAGCCCGGCCGATTTTACTTTCAATGGCAAACGCTTCAGACGAGGAAATGAAAGAGAGTAGTAGAGTAGTAATGAAACCGAAGTTGAAATTGTGCCGCCAGCTGTCTGGTCAATGTGTGTTAAAATCGCCGGCAAAATGTCGGACAAGCAAACCCAAAAGTGGGCACATTAAGAGAGCCACGCCAAAAATACAATGCCTGGCCAACAACAACCCATATAAATGGCCCAAAACAATAACACAATCGGGCGCCTAATGAACGGCTTGTGCAGATTTCGGTGGCTCTGGGATCTTTTTTATGGCTCCTTGGATTACCAGCGATTTGACAAGCCATACAAAAGAGTAGGGAGTGAAAGGAAGTGCAACCAGTTTACAAAAATTATCATAATAAGCCGTTCTTATGCGATTAACGTATTTTGCGGCAGTAGGGCAAACTAAATGGGCTACGAATTTGTGCGGCCGCTTTCTAGGTGATATTATTTTTCGTGATATATTTAGCACAAGCCAACAGTTAAATAAAAACATTAGCTTAAGATTTACAGCTAGCTTACAAATCTGCAGACATTTAAACAGAAAATATGTTAAAATACTTGTAGTTAGAGCTCTTTATTGTGATCAACTTTAGCATGTTTAACATTTTGTTGATTACATCATACAAATGTTATTGGAAAAACTTGTATTTATATATTCTTGTTAAAGAACAAGTAAGAATACAAAACATATTTTAATTACAAAACGTTTTGAAGATAATGAGCTTCTTCCTTTAATAGATTTCTATTTATTTTTAAATAAGTAAGTAATTCGTAAAAAAGAGGGTAACTTGTAATTTTGAAAACTCCCATTAATGTATATGCCAAAAACATACCTAAAGCATATTAGATAAAACAACAACAAAAAAACTTTCAATTGCCTCATTAAAGGCCGTGTAATTAGCAATAATTATTTTGGAACCATGGCGAATCAATAAATTTCTAAGAAATATACTGCATTAAATAACACTCAATAGGTGATCAAACGAAGTCATCTTCGGTTTCCTTTGAAGTCTGTTTATTAACAAAACATTTTCGTTGAAAGATATTGAACAATGTTCGACTGGCACTGCAACTGGTTAGCAATGTAAACACTCACCGGCCATAAACATCGAAATTCGCCACACACTTGCACGCACAAGAGCCATTACGGCAAAACAAGCATACGCAGTGTGGATCGAGCCAAGTGACAACAAAGCATTTTCGCTTGCTATTGGCGAGTGGCTTCAGTTGGCGTTCCCGTTGTCGTTGCAGTTGCAGTTGCAGTTTGCAGCGGAGATGAGTTGTGCTCCACAGCTGGTCATGGCCAGACAATTTGCAGTAACCAAAAATCAATGACCGACCGGTTTTGCATAGGCTTTCGGTGCTGGTTGTCGATGGTAACGTAACAACTTTCGCTAAAACGTCATTCACGGCAGAGAGCAAAATGGCAAAAGGCAGGCCGAAGAGATAAAGCCGCGATATCATCAGCCAGCCAAATGATGATGATGAAGCAGAAGAAATTCAGTTTCAGTGTCGCCTTTGCCACAAATCGGCTTCTCCTCCAAAAATCCCTCGTACCTTGTTTGTTGGCCAAAAATGCATGGAGTTCGGACCAGTTTGTGGCGGCTCGGAAGTGCAGCGCCTCATTTGAATAATTGAAATCCACTTGCACTGCAATTAAGAGCATAAAACGAAATGTTTGCGTTTCTACACTTTCCATGCGGGACCCAGTGCGAGTCACAAAATCGAATGCAATGAGCTTGGCTTGGCTCAAATTGCCGGAAAATTTCGTTTTAGCAATCGAATTGTCTGTCTTCCCAGAGCTCTTAAGACATGCATCGAAATGGGAATGCACTTGGTGCTCGAGTTCATTTTCGAGCAGCAGCGGAAGTTGTTAAAGGCCTTTCCAGTTATTCAAATGTAGCAATCTCACGCACAAGGCCAAAACTTTTTCCACTTTTGGGTTTACCCGCAGGAAGGGACATTCTCAGTTAAATGAATCTTGTGTCCCGCATAAATGTCAGCCAAACACTTTAAAGTGAAGCCATTAATTGCCATACTTGGGTCGACCTGAACACCGAAGTTGCATGATAACCTGGTATACACTTTTAACACGATTTTGAAATACCATTTAAACGGACTGAGGCTGAAATGTTGTGACACATGAGTAAAAGGCAAACAAAAAGTTCTCGTCCTGCGAGGATTGCCAACAGTTTCGTGATGACTCTGGGTTGGCTAGTCATTGTTCTTGGCTGCATTGGACAGTTGAGTGCCCAGATACTTATTAATACTCAGACCACAGATCTGGAATTGTTAGAAGGTAGACTACTTGGAGTACTCTCGAGACTAAATCTAGAGGAAGAGTATAATACTGTGTTGGTGTACGGAAAGGAATGCGTGTTCCATTCCTTATTGCGGAAACTGGAGATACCCGCAGTCACTGTACCATCAGGTAGTACCGATTATGATTGGAACTTTAGTACAGCAACCCTAGTATTAAGCTGTGGATCTGATGCGGACAACGAAGAGAATTCGTACACCCTACTGAAGTTGCAGAGGACCAGGCGTCTGATTTATCTCGAGGGAAATAGTGAGCCCGAATCCGTTTGCATGAAGTACGCCTTGAAGGAACAGCATAACATTGCCATGGTCAATTCGGACTTCGATCAATCGGATGCCTTCTATTCCTGTCGCTTCTTTCAGACACCCAGCTATGTAGAAGGCCACATCTTCAAGGACCAACCTATCTACATTGAGAACTTTAAGAATATGCGTGGTGCTACTATTAGAACGGCGCCAGACAGTTTGGTGCCTCGAACCATCGTTTACCGAGATGAAAGGTCTGGTGAAACTAAGATGTTGGGTTACCTGGCACACATGATAAACACCTACGTCCAGAGACTGAATGCCAAGCTGCAGTTTATAGATACAATGGAGTTCGGGGTCAAGAAGGCCAGCGTCTTGGATGTAATGAAGTGGGCTAAGGAGGATATTGTGGACATTGGCACGGCACTGGCCAGTTCCTTGCAGTTTAAGGATATGGATACCGTCTGGTATCCTTACCTGCTGACCGGCTACTGTCTGATGGTACCAGTTCCTGCCAAGATACCCTACAATCTGGTGTATTCGAAGATAGTGGACCCCCTGGTTCTGAGCATCATCTTCGTCATGTTGTGCCTCTTCTCAGTTCTGATAATCTACACCCAACATTTATCCTGGAAGAACCTCACGCTGGCCAACGTCCTGCTGAACGACAAAAGTCTGCGCGGCCTTTTGGGTCAATCGTTTCCATTTCCGCCGAATCCCAGCAAGCACCTCAAGCTGATCATCTTTGTCCTGTGCTTTGCCAGCCTTATGATCACCACCATGTATGAGGCCTACCTGCAGTCGTATTTCACTCAACCTCCATCCGAGCCGTATATTCGATCCTTTCGAGACATTGGAAACTCTCCCCTTAGAATAGCACTCACCAGGATGGAAGTGAATGTCCTCACCTCCCTGAACAACTCACATTTTCGGGAAATTGGCGAAGACCATCTGATGATCGTTGAAGACATTTCCGAATACCTAGTCCTGCGCGACTCCTTCAACACAAGTTTTATATTTCCGGTATCTGTGGACCGATGGACTAGCTACGAGGAGCAGCAGAAGCTATTCGCTGAACCCGCCTTTTACCTGGCCACCGATCTCTGTTTTAATCAGTTTATGTTGTTCAGTCCCCCGTTGCGACGCTACTTGCCCCATCGACACCTATTCGAAAACCACATGATGCAGCAGCATGAGTTTGGCTTGGTGAATTTCTGGAAGAGTCAAAGCGTCATTGAAATGATCAGGCTTGGCCTGGCATCCATGGAGGACCTTAGTAAGAAGAGAAATGTTGAGGATAGCCTCCTGCTGGACGATATCTCATGGATACTTAAGCTGTATCTGGGAGCCATGCTGATAAGTAGTTGTTGCTTCATACTGGAGATATTGCGCTGCGGAGAGAGATGCAAGCAGCTATGGCAGTGTAGATTGTACAAGAAAGCAAAACATTACATACACAAGTAATATTTCAAAGTGTCATGTTAAGCTTGATCAAATACAGAGATAATAAATACTATAAATCATTGTCTGCGCTTTGGAAAGCATATATACCATTTATAAATATATACAAAAAGCTTCTAATATGGTAATTAAGCTGGAAATAAACTGAAGGAATCGAATCGCAACTACCTTTTGGTAGTAATATATATTTATATATAGAGTTACAGCTTACCTTTGAAGTGCCTTTGACGCTATTTTACAACAGGAAAATGCAAGAAAAATTGCAATACCACTTGTCACGCCTGTACATTTTTACACGATATGGCTTAAAACTAACATTTTAATGATACATTTTTACAAGGCTAACATCACTGGAAATTGTTGGGACCAGTTTCAAATATATAGGGCCCCAATATGTGTATTCCACATGAAAACCATTATATGAACGATAAATGAAACAAAAAGGAGCACAACTCAAAGTATTAAAACAGTTTGTTTAAAAGCAATGACATGGTTGGTCATAACACTCTGCTTCCTGGGATATTTTGCAGCCCACATGGCGGATATTTCTGTCCAAAACCAAAACATCATGGATTACGAGTTACTTCGTCTTCTGATAAAACTGCGCCAGGAGGAGTTTTACGATACACTGCTGGTCTATGGAGAGGATTGTGAATTTCATTCGCTAATCAGAAGTTTAGATGTTGCCGTAGTGCTGGTGACGGATAGCATGAATTTTGATTGGAATTTTAGCAGACTTACCCTGATACTCAGTTGTGGACCAGACTTAGAAAAAGGAGGACCAAATGGTACTACTTTTAAGCTGCAGCGAAACAGGCGACTAGTTTTATTAAACGGAGATATTCAACCAAGTAATATGTGTAATATATACACACAAAAGGATATATATAACATAGCCTTTGTGAAAGAAAACTTCGCCAAGTCAAATGTCATATACTCCTGTCGCTATTTTCAAGATCCCAACATAGAAGATGTACATTTATTAGAGGCGAGGCCTATCTTTACAGAACAATTTCAAAATATGATGGGAAATGCAATCAGAATTGTGCCAGATCTGTTGCCACCTCGAGCCATGCTGTACCAGGATGCAAGTGACGGCGAAACAAAGATGATTGGCTATGTGGCAAACTTAATCACTAACTTTGCACAGAAAGTGAATGCCACCTTGCAGTTACACATTCTGGAAACCTCAACGAGCATCACAGAGATATCACGAATGGCTAAGGACGATGAGCTTGATATGGGCGTTACTTTAGAGGCCTCATTATATTCACCGAATCTCGAGACGGCGAGCTATCCTTACCTCTTGACATCGTACTGTCTTATGGTTCAGGTTCCAGCAAAGTTGCCGTACAATTTAGTCTATGCCATAATTGTGGATCCGCTCGTCCTGGGAATAATCTTTCTGTTGTTCTGCCTGCTCTCTGTCCTGCTAGTATATAGCCAGAAAATGTCATGGCAGGACCTGAGCCTGGCCAACATTGTACTTAATGATAAGAGCCTACGAGGTCTCCTGGGCCAATCCTTTCCGTTTCCGTTGAATGCTAGCAAAAAGCTGAGGCTGATATTTACCATTTTATGCTTTGCCAGCATACTGCTTAATACGATGTACGAAGCCTATCTGCAATCCTTTTTCACGAACCCACCATCTGAGCCGCACATTCGCTCCTTCAAGGACATTGGTAAGCTTCGTCATAAGACAGCTATCACCGCAATTGAGGCAAACGTGCTGATTAGCACTAACAACACACAATTCCTCGAAATTCCTAAGAAGCACCTATGTATCTATGAGAGCTGGCGCGAATCGCTTGCACTGCGGGATGCCTTCAACCTCAGCTATAACTACTTCGTCACCGAGGACCGTTGGAGCTCCTATGCGGAGCAGCAGAAGCTCTTTAAGGAGACACTGTTCTACTACTCGAATGATCTCTGCTTCTCGCGCATGATCTTCTTTTCCATTCCGCTGCGCAGACACCTGCCATATCGTCATCTCTTTGATGAGCACATGATGCGACAGCAGGAGTTCGGCTTAGTCAATTACTGGAAGGGCCACAGCTTCTTCGACATGGTTAGACTTGGGCTAACGACTCTCGAGGACCTCAGTCAGCCGAAGTCGTTCAATCCAAGCCTTCTAATGGAGGACATCTCTTGGATAATGAAACTCTATCTCGTCGCCATTTCGCTAAGTGTTTTCTGCTTTCTGTCGGAAGTAGGATGGGAAAAGTGGAAGCGCTGGCGAGATACGAGAAATTAATCAAACCATACTATACTTCTAAAAGGTAATTTGCTGACCTAAATTAATGTATTCTTGCATTTTTAACTTCATATGTAAAAATTAAAAAAAATAATAATATACTTGCGCATCTCCAATTTTCAGACCATTAACATAGATCCGTTTCAAAATATGCATCTACCACTACAAAGTTTTTATTTGCAGAGCACACGCAAACCGCACTTGTTTTGAACAGCCTAGAATACTAATACAATGTAAAAAACACGCAAATTGCGTGACTGATGGAACGGATGTCAGCCTGGCGGAAATACAAAATGGACAAAACACTCGAGGATTCCAACAGTTACAATTAGACCATGGCTTGGTATATTATCCTTCTCCTTTGTACCGGGAGTGCTTGGGCACAGCTTTCGGCTTTAGTCGGTAACAGTAACCGAGATCTTGAAGATACAATGTTAAGCCTTCTGCGGAGATTGCAATCGGAAAATGCCTACGACACACTCTTAGTTTATGGAGACAATTGCTCGTTTCCTGCTCTATCCGCCAGATTACCAGTATCGTCTGTTCTGGTTTCTTCGGGAAGTACTAACTTTGACTGGAATTACAGCAGCTTAACACTGATACTAAGTTGTGGGTTTGAAGTAGAGAGGGAGCAGAACCATCGCACACTTATAAAGCTACAAACAAACAGGCGTCTAATTCTTCTACACGAGGATATCCAGCCAGGGTCTGTATGCGACTACTACTCAAAAAAGGAGCAATATAACATAGCAATGGTGAGAAAGAACTGCTCGACGTCGGGTATAATTTACTCCTGTCGTTTATTTCGTGACCAAAACTATGAAGAAGTGGATATCCATGATGGTAAGGCAATATTCATAGACCAATTTCGAAACATGCATGGAGCTCCGATCAGAACGATCACCGATAACTTGGCACCACGATCCATGGTAACCGAGGATCCGATAACTGGCGAGAAGAAGTGGATTGGCTTCGTGGCCAATTTGCTGAACAACTTCATTGAAAAGGTTAACGCAACCTTGGCCATGCAGTCCGAATTGGCCGAGGTGGAGGGAACAATATTCTTTGTGAATATTTCGAAGTGGACTGCAAACGATCTGCTGGATATCGGTATGAGCGTGGACACCACTGGGGAAATGACAAACTTCGATACGTTCACGTATCCCTATCTGATGTGCTCTTACTGCTTCATGGTGCCGCTTCCGGATAAGATTCCCTACAACGAGGTGTACGGTGTGATTATAGACCCCGGTGTCCTGGCCTTGATCTTTCTTATATTCTGCGCCTTCTCGGTGTTGCTGATCCACATCCAGGGGAGGTCCTTGAGTCTGACCAGTGTCCTGATGAACGATATGTGCTTGAGGGGCTTTCTGTGTCTGCCCTTTCCCTTTCCGCGTCAATGCAGCAGGAAACTGAAGCTGATGTGCTTGCTTCTGTGCTTTGCTAGTCTAATGACCACTACTATGTATGGGGCTTATTTAAAAGCCTTCTTGTACAGCCCACCACCACAGCCGATGATGCACTCATTTAGCGATTTGGAAGGGTCCCAGTACAAGATTGCCATGATTGCCGAGATGGATATGCTGAGATTCGATAACAATCGAATCCTTCCGCACGTAAGCAACGAGCGGGTCGAGATCTTCAAGGACTACCATGAATTCGTTAGGTTGCGGGAGTCCTTCAATAACAACTATGTCTTTCCGGTGACCAGTGTGCGCTGGGGCACTTATGACGAGCGGCAAAAGCTCTTATTTAATCCTGTATTCTACTACTCCGATGAAATCTGCCTTAGCCGCGACAACATACTTAGCTTTCCCATCAGACGCCACCTGCCATATCGCAATCTCTTCGAGGAACACATCCTGCGGCAGAAGGAGTTTGGTCTGCTGCAACACTGGATCGACCACAGTTTCCTAGACATGTTGAGGCTGCAACTTACTCCACATACGGACTTGAGGGAGCCTCCAGTGGAACTGGCCATCGATGTGGATGATCTCTACTGGATTCTGGGCTTGTACGCCTTGGCACTGGGAATCTGTTGCTGTTGCTTTGCACTGGAGATTCTGGGAGCTTTAAATCACTGGAATCGCCTGAAAATATATATTTCGAAGCGCTTTACAAATTAAATCTTATTTCGCATACTTTTATTAAACCCTTGACGCTCACGATTTTAATCTAAGGAAAATTGAAATGATTGATTTACCCATAAAGTTCTTACGTGGTGTTAACCAAAATCATTTTCATACATGTTGTGAAAAATATGTAAAGCCGCTGGGGGTTGGGGCTTAAACTGGACGTTTATCAAAACCATTAGCAGAAGAGAAACATTCAGTTTCTGGGGTTTTAATACAACCGGTTGTAAGCTGCCCCCAGTAGCATGTTAACACAATATCAGAAACATGACAAGTGCATGCCAGTTCAACTTTTAATCAATATTTACAGTACTTACAGTACAAAATGTCAGGAAAGCACAGGACTAGCCACAGTTAAGCAAAAACCATGGCGTGGCTTATTATCCTTCTTCTCTGCGCTGGGAATTCAAGTGCACGGTATATTCGCGATTATATTCATAAAAGTAGCCCACACTTGGAGGATAGAGTATTCAGTCTGCTCGTCAGATTACAATTGGAGGAGTTCTATGACACACTGCTTCTCTATGGAGAGGATTGTGTTTTTCATTCGCCATCCCGACGCTTGAATGTATCCACAGTGCTCGTGTCCTCGGGCAGCTCCAACTTTGATTGGAACTTCAGCAGCCTAACCTTGATATTGAGCTGTAGTCCTGAAGACGAAAACGAGACAAACTACCAGACTCTTGCTAAATTGCAACGCAACAGGAGGTTAGTTTATCTAAGAGAAGTTACTAACCCGCATTCGGTGTGCGAAAGATATTCACAGAAGGAACAATACAATGTAGCTACAATAGCGGAAGACTTCGATAGGTCGAGAACTGTCTATGCGTGTCGCCACTTTAGAGATCCTAGCATCGAGGAAGTAAGTTTACTGGAGAGAAATCCAGTTTTTATAGAACAGTTCCGGAATATGCACGGAAAACCCATCCGAGCAGTGGCAGATCTCTTATCTCCGCGTTCGATGCTTTATGTGGATGCAAAGACCGGTGATATGAAAACAACAGGCTATGTGGCCAATTTGGTTAATACTTTCGCTGAGAGAGTAAATGCTACCCTGGAATTAGAGGTTTTGGCCAATAAATTGATCGTAAAGGAAATTTTAAGTATGGTGGAAAACGAACAGCTGGACATTGGGATCACCCTAGAATCCTCCTTTCGAATGACATTCATAGATATTTCCAGTTATCCGTACATTCTGACATCGTACTGTCTTATGGTTCAGGTTCCAGCAAAGTTGCCGTACAATTTGGTGTATGCCATGATAATAGATCCGCTCGTCCTGGGAATAATCTTTCTGTTGTTCTGCCTGCTCTCTGTCCTGCTAGTATACAGCCAGAAAATGTCATGGCAGGACCTGAGCCTGGCCAACATTGTACTTAATGATAAGAGCCTACGAGGTCTCCTGGGCCAATCCTTTCCGTTTCCATTGAATGCTAGCAAAAAGCTGAGGCTGATATTTACCATTTTATGCTTTGCCAGCATTATGCTTACCACGATGTACGAAGCCTACTTGCAATCCTTCTTCACGAACCCGCCATCCGAACCAGAAATCCGCTCATTCCAAGATATTGGCAGCTATAACCGAAGAATTGCAATGCCTGCTCTGGAGATTAATGGTTTGATCAAGACCAATAATTCACACTTCAGAGGAATTCGCGTAGATGATTTAGAAATTTTCGATAATATGCCGGAGTGCTATGAGCAGCGCGACGCCTTCAACCTGAGCTACAACTATGTGGTAACCGGAGATCGCTGGAGATCCTACGCGGAACAGCAGACGCTTTTCAAGGAGCCAGTCTTCTACTATGCGAGGGACTTGTGCTTCTCAAGACTGATCTTCTTGTCGGTTCCCCTGCGAAGACACCTGCCATATCGTCATCTCTTCGATGAACACATGATGCAGCAGCATGAGTTCGGCCTTGTGAACTATTGGATGAGCCACAGCTTCTTCGACATGGTGAGACTTGGTCTAACGCCTCTCGAGGATCTGAGTAGGCCAATAGCGTACACTCCAAGCCTATTAATGGATGACATTTCGTGGATACTAAAAATCTACTTGGCTGCTATGGTACTCTGCGTTCTCTGCTTATTGTTGGAAATTGGAGTAGACATGTGGAAGCGCAGGGTGAAATTCCGAAATCTACAAATTCTAAACACCTTTTGAACTAATCCCGTTCCAAAGAAAAACAAAAGAGTTTCTTCAATAACACGTTCTATTTTCAGCAGATTACGGATTTAAGACCATTAAAATACAAATTAATAGTTCGCCTGTATTTTTATAATAAGCCGATAAATTGGAAATAAATCAAAAAGGTTCTTTACCTTGGCCAATAAAATTCTCCATAACAAAAAACTGGGACCAATAAAATTGTATTACTGAAGAAAAAACGCAACCTTATCTATTCCTCAACTTGCCTTATTGAAACAAGAGAGAATGCTATAGTCGAGTTCCCCGACTATCAGATACCCGTTACTGCAAACGAGAAATATCGCTAGGAACTGGGGAAAAATTAATAGAATGAAAAAAAAACCTAAAAATTGCTTAAAAGTGTGGGCGTGACAGTTTCGGGCGGTTTGTGGGCGTATGAGTGGGCAAGGAACTTGCGCTGCGTCTATGCCTCTGGAAGCTGCATGCTATATATACATACATATATGCAAGAATATATATACATTATATGGTCGGAAACGTTTCCTTCTGTCTGTTACATACTTTTCAACGAATCTAGTATACCCTTTCACTCCACGAGGAACGGGTATAAAAATGCACGCAGATTTTGCAGCAGAAATTCACAGTACTGGGAATCTATAGAAGTATAATATAATAGTAGTAGGAAAGAATAGTAACTTAAAAGTCAGGAAATAAAACTAGCCAATGCTTTAATTTTAACAGCAATTTAAATAATTAAACAAAGATCGTTCATTTTATATTCGTTCAATATATTGTTCGAAAATTGATCAAACTGGGGACTGGGATCAACTTTTTGAACGTTAATCGAAATTAAGACACTTAACCACTATCTATTTGCTCACACGCGAAATATAGGTGTTTCCAGCCACCCACTAATTAAGTGAACTTTAGGGTGTGCTCTGAACTATTCGGCATGTCAACACAATACGGGAAACATGACAATTGCATGCCCCACTAACACTTTTGAGCCAGTTTACAGGCTTGTTGGCTACAAAATGTGATGAATGCACAAGAATTCCATCAGTGAACTTAGCACCATGGTTTGGCTTATAATCATTCTTCTCTGCCTTGGAAATTTAACGGCTCAATTTCTGGATTTCACCAATACCAGTTACGTAGACTTTGAGGACAGATTGCATATTCTTCTCATCAAACTGCAATTTGATAACTTCTACAATACTCTCCTGGTTTATGGAGAAGATTGTGTCATTCCTTCTTTATTTACAAAATTGGAAGTCCCTGCAGTGCTGGTGTCCTCGGGTAGCACCAATTTTGATTGGAATTTCAGCAGCCTAACACTGATACTCAGTTGTAATTTCCAAGCCGAGAGAGAAGAAAACAATCGAACACTGCAGAAGCTGCAAATTAACAGGCGCCTTGTCCTCCTGAAAGGAGATATAAAACCCGAGTCTGTGTGCGAATTCTATTTTGAAAAGGAGCAACATAATGTAGCTATGGTGAAGGAAAACTTTTATCACTTCGGAGTGATATACTCCTGTCGCCTATTTCAAGATCAAAACTATGTAAAACTGAATCTAAGTGATGTCAATCATCCGATTTACATAGACCAATTTCGAAACATGCATGGAGCCGTAATAAGATCAGTATCTGACAATGAGACACCCCTAACCATACCTTATCTTGACCAAGTAACCGGAAAAGTGAAGTATAGGGGCTATGTGGGTATGTTGATAAACCACTTCGTTGAGAAGGTGAACGCCACTTTGGAAATGCAGGAGAAGTTAATGGACCTAGAGCCATCTGCTCTGAACATTACCGATTGGGCCAAGGACAACTATCTGGACATTGGTATGTGCGAGGCTAAGACGATTGAAATGTCGAACTACGACACGATCTCGTATCCGTACCTAATAAGTTCGTACTGCTTCATGGTCCCTTTTCCGGATACAATGCCATATAATGAGGTCTACTTTGCGATTATAGAACCAACTGTTCTGATAATGGTTTTAATAGTATTCTGCATCTGCTCCGTGCTAATTATCTACATAAAGGAAAAGTCCTGCCGTAGCCTGAGCTTCTCTAGTGTCCTGCTGAACGATATCTGTTTCAGGGGATTTATTGCTCAGCCGTTTCCTTTTCCCCGCCAATGCAACAGAAAACTTAAACTGATTTTCATGCTGATCTGCTTTTCCAGCCTAGTCTCCACCACAATGTATACGACATACCTACATGCCTTCTTATATGGGACGCCCAACGGAGCATTTTTGATGTCATTTGACGATTGGAAAAAGTCCAAGTACAAGATGGCTATTAACATCTACGACGAAGATTATCTGAAGTTCAAGAACTTGAGCCTGGATGGCGTGGAGATCTTTGAATACGATGAATTCGTTGAGCTGCGAAAAACCTTTAATAGCGATTATATATTTCCGGTGACAACTTTGCAGTGGTTCACCCTCAGGGAGCAACAGAAATTCGTCGAAGACGATTTGTTCTACTATACAGATGAATTCTGTCTAAATCATTTTGATATATTAAGTATTCCTATAAGACGTCATTTGCCTTATCGCGATATCTTCGAGGAACACATGCAGCGCCAGAAGGAGTTCGGGTTTACTAAGCACTGGATCGACGAGAGTTCTAACGATATCTCGATATCTGAAAATCTCACGTCAGTTGAAGATTTAAGTCCGCCTCTCGTGGATGATTACATAGAAGCACACAATTTCTTCTGGGTTTTCACCATTTATGTCGTTGGGATGGGTATGGGTCTATGCTGTTTTATCTTGGAGCTGCTAACACCCATGAGGTACTGGAGAAACTGCAAAGTCCGCTAAGTAATGAAAGCTCTGAGTATATATCCCAGGATTTTTTATTTAATATTGCTTTTCTATCTTACAAAATGTTGCTAAGTAAGCTGTAATACATTATTCTATTCTAATCTAAAGGCACTCCGCACAGATGCCGTAAAAAACGACCTGTTAAACGTTAAACGATAAATCATAAACATTTCAGCACACAGATATAACCCAAAAAGAAAATTTTCTTAAATACCAAAATAAATGTATAACAATTATTTCACTAAATAAATGTTTTTGCACCAATGAAATCGTTTCCTTATATACGATATATACGTTAAGAAATACTCCTAAAAACTGTATTTCTCCAGGAAGGTTAATGGGGTTTTCCGCTCACTAACTCACAATTACCTCAAGCTTTCAATATCTTTATATAGTTATCTTTACAAAATCGATTCTTCATTTAATTGGCGCTTCATTTTTTTACTATGCCCATACTTGTACGGTCGGTATTCTTATACTAAGGAAACAAAATGTCAGAGGCATTGACAAAAATTGAGACAACGTATCTTTTTTATTGACTCCACGAAATGTATGTATTTCTAATGCAACTACAAATTATATGGGCCATTAGGTACACCTTTAATATTCAGCCATGTTAACACAATATGGAAAACATACAAATAGCATGCCTGATCGACATTCACTGGACATTTAAAGTACAAAATAGAATGTTCATTCGGAAACTGCAATAGTAACTCTTGCACCATGGTTCGGTTTATTATAATTTTTCTTTGCGTTGGATATTCAGAGGCACAGATTTTGGATGCTACTACTAGTCATCCAAATGCAGAGGGACGACTTCTGAAGAAGATTGCGCTTTTAGTTTCCTGTCAAGGGGATATCTGTTTGAGGGGATTTTTTACTCAGCCTTTTCCTTTTCCTCGCCAATTCAACAGAAAGCTAAAACTGATTTTCATGCTCGTTTGCTTCATCGGTGTAATCATCACCACAATGTACGGCTTACCTGAAGATCTTTATGTGGGGTCCACCATTATATCCGAATGTATGTTCCTTCGCCGATCCTGAGAATTCCAGGTACAAGCTGGCCATTAAAGGGTACGGTATGGAGTTGCTGCGACCGTGGAACGTGAGCATGGAGCATGTGGTGGTCTTCGATGACGCCAATCAACTGGAACACTTGCGAGACTCCTTCGATGACAACTATATGTACCCGGTGACCGCCTGGATTTGGGTTGCCTTCAAGGAGCAACAGAAGCTCTTCGCATTCGCACTGTTTTATTATTCAGAGAAACTCTGCCTAAACCCTGTCTGTTTTTTTAGTTTCCCCATAAGACGACACTTCCTGCAACAAAATGAGTCCGGCTTATCGATGTACTGGATTGATAGGAGCTTCTCGGATGTGGTGAGACTAAAACTTAAATCCGTGGAAGATTTAAGTCCACCCCGATTGTGTGATTACATCGAAGTAGAAGATCTCTTCTGAGTTTTCGCAATGTACTTCACTGGAATGGAGCTACTGTGATTTCCAAGTTGGTTGCGACACTTAAGAATAAGCAATTGGTTTAGGGTAAGCAATTAAATCGCCTATCCTAATAGATTTTGGTAAATTTTTAAATCGTAATGTTTGCAACATAATTAAATAAAAAGATTCGCTAGTCACTCTGCTCAACCTTCGCCAAAAGCCATAAAGCAAACAAAGAAATGTTGAATTGGGATTAGCCACCTCCGCACAATAAATGATAGCGGATATGGAGAAGCCGCGGTTATTGTTGGCGTTGTTATTCAAATGTATCCGAATAAACACATCGGAGGTTGCGAACATTGAGACAATGCTCACTTTTGGATGTTGATCGATACGCGATATTGATTTTGATGTGGTTTTAAGAGACAATCGAACCTATCTCTGTATATCTGCGATGCGATTGTGAAAACCCCGCGGATGGAAATGTGCATTCCACCAGGTATGATGAGTCGACCCAATGAACTGGTCAAATATTTGATGACATCTCACATAATTGGCTCTTACATAAATACGACCATAAACAGTCCACAATGCGGGTGTCTCAGCAGGAACCGGGGATTATGCAAAACCCTAACTGGCATATGGCTACCGCCATAAAACCGCCTTAGTTTGCGCTCATTTGAATGGATATTTGTGCATATTCCATCCGAATCATAATTTGGTTCGTCACTTTGGCGCCACTTTTGACGCGTGCTGATTGGACCTAGGGCACTGGAACTGAAATTGGATTCGGATTCGGATTTGGCGATGGGGATAGGGATGGGGATGTGGCATTGGATAACCGGTTAAACCCCAAAGCGATGTAGTGGGTGAGACAATGGGTTGGCATTGTCATTGCCAAGCCAGTATCGTGAAATCTTTCACTTTCGATTTAGTTGTAAACGAAGTTCCCCTTTTAAAATCACTCGAACTGGATCATAAATCACGCTGAAAAACGTATGATAATGTGGCATCATTACGCTTCCCAGCCTGATCAATTTGTCATGGGAAGTCGTGGACTTGCTCCAGCTCTGATCCGACATAATCCTATCAGATCCGATCAGATCCGACCTGTGCTCATCCTATGGCACTGACGAAACCCCAACGCAATCATCGGAATTACCCAACCTTTTGACATTTGCAAGGCTTTCGAAGCGAAACGAAAGTAGCAGACAGACCATAATCCGTAAAATCTATGGCAGACATTTTTCAATTGCAATCCCAATCCCAATCCCAATTCTGTTATTATCCGCCGTTGACTGCCCATTTCCATTGATGGATGGTGATCGTTAGTCGACCATTTCTTGGTTGCCTATGTGATCTTCAGGGTCATTTAGATTTAATAGATTTCTGTGGCCCGAGTCATTATGGCTGCCACCTTAACCGCAGACGACTCACATGTGGAACAATGCCTGTTAGTGGTTAAATTGTTTTTAACCCTTTTTTTTATTGTACGCGCTTTAATGAGACCTCGTTGGGGGCTTCAGCCGCACTCATTATTGAATAGAGTAATTTTAAAAAATTATTTATCGAGCACTTCTGCTATTTACACAAAAACATATTTGCGGACTCTTGAAGGTGGGCTCTGTTTTTCAATCCGGCTGCGGCTCATAACACTTAAGAGCCAACTAATTCGACCTCAGGCCATTAAACATTTCACAAATGTGCTGAAAATGCATAATTTTCGGTGGCGATAATAAAAGAGTATTTCAAATTTAAGAGGTGTTAATTTCTTTGACTGAAGAAACTAATCTGTTTCAATGCCGGATTCGCTGCATTTTTACAAACTAGTATTTTAAGGTCGCACACGAAATGAAATTCGAATATCTCGTCTGGCTCAACATCGTAAGTATGTATATGCATATATCTCCCTCTTTGTGCTCCATCTTTCTTTACTTTTCGGCAACTAAAACAAAGGCCCCATGCCACTGAGCCCAGGCCACAGAGTAACTTATTTCCTTCCTACTTTTTGTCGCTCAAAGCCATTAGGGAGCTTTAGCGAAGATTGGCAAAACAGTTGCCACCTTTCAGCGGCTCAACGGCTGCTTCCCACAACTCCATCCGAAAATCCGAAAATCCGAAACTCCAATTACCATGGCTGTGGAGCACTTTGAACTTTAATTTAGCTGCTGGGTCGGCGCTCTGTGGCGGCCAGTGGCGCCTCCCGCAGCGACACCAATGCGTATACGTAACGTATTAATTATGCGGCCCAAGAGCTCACTTAAAAACAGCAACTGGCACTTTGGAGTCGTACGTTAATTAGCCAAATTAATCACAGACCCCAAACAAAATGGGGCCAATCTTGTTGGCATCAATTCGAAGCATTACAAAATGAAAGTTGCGATGAGAACCAATCTCAATTAGAATTCAAATGAGATTTAAACAAGCCACCAGAGACACATTCCACTGGCAACATGTGGTTGCATGTTCCGGCCAAGAGGCGTAGCAACAAGTTTTTAATGGGAAGCCCATTTGTTGCCCCTTAACAACAAATGAACATGCCATTTGTGCATTAAGTGTCGGCCAAGGTGTCAAGTGCGACAGTCAGTCGGTCAGTCCCTTTCGTTTTCAACGGTACTCGAGGGCAGGAAGTTTTGTGATTTAAATTTCCGTTTTTTTCGCTGTTGATGTGACAACAATGTGGCTTGGCATGGTTGCTGGTTATAAATTATAATTATTAGTTATAGACTCACACATAAAACTGGGTAAAATCTAAATGGCAGACACTCCTCCCGATAAGCTAGTACATCATTATAAATGGCTATTACGCGGATAGTTACCATGTCATACAATGAGTTGTCCGCTTAGATCGTTTTCAAATTCATATAAATTTAAAATACAATTTCGAAATCTTAACATATTTTAATTACATAAAATTTGCATACATATAAAACCAGTAATAATGACGGAAATGTGCAAATTGGAGTTATAACACCTTTTAGGTAAAGTGGTAAAAGTCTTTGCTAAATGTAAGGTAAAAATAAGTAAAATGTTTGCTTAAGGATGCAAATATCAGAACAATTTGCTTACATTTAAAATAGATTTTAATCGATTTTATGGAAATCTGTGTATTAGTCTCAAGGAAAAATACGTTGAAGTATGATAAATAATTTTGTACATTTATTTGCTTAAATACTTTGTTAAAAATGAATATGTGAAGAATAAAATTAGTTTTCGGGCCACTGTGCACCGATTGTACGGTCAATTTGTTTTACATTTGTATTCTGCACCTGGACGACTACTATCGGGTATATAAAAAAAAAATAATTCAATTTATTTTCTATTTGGAATCGTGAGCCAGGAGATCTCAAGCGCTGCTGTCCCACTGTAGCAGTGCTGCAAAGCGGCGACTTAACAGCTGTTGCTGAACAGGCACCCCAAAACGCACTAACGCTTGAAGCAACAGCGTATAGAAAACATGCCCGAGTAAGTTTTCGTTGTTTTGTATTGTTGTTGCGTTTCATTTGTTGTTGTGACAGCCGCGCTTAGAATTAATATTGCCATTTAGTCTAGTTTAAGCCACTCCACAAAGCGGCGGTGCGCGGCGCTCAACGGAAAGCGGGAAGAAACTGGAATTGTAGGCGAACCGAGAGCCACGAATCATACTTGCAAAGTGTCTGGATTTTTCGCCAGCGAATCGGAGTTAAATGATTGAGTAGTGGATAAAATCGGACAGCGGACGCACACGATCCGATCCGCAGAGCCACTTTTCAGTGGAGTGACAGCTAGTGCTACCTCAGAATCCCAGCTACCACCAGAGCCCCAGTCAGTAGATATTTTAAGCCAACATGCTGCCTCGGTTCCGTTCCTTCTACGGCAAGCTGATCATCTTCATCCTAGTCGCCCTCTGCTTCATCTTGTACAGCAAGGTGCAGCAGAATGGTTCACCAGAGGAGCCACCTGTGGCGCCACTCGTCCGGGTGCCCGCTCTGCGAGGTCATGGACGCGAGCGCTACGAGACGTATAGCGACAGTGAGAACGAAATAGCCCGACCTGCCACCCAGTCGCCCTACGAACAAATCATCCAACTGGATCTTCAGAAACAAAAGGCGGGACTCGGCGAACAGGGCGTGGCAGTTCACCTTTCTGGTGCCGCCAAAGAGCGAGGCGATGAGATCTACAAGAAGATCGCCCTCAACGAGGAGCTAAGCGAGCAGTTGTCCTACAACCGAAGTGTCGGTGACCACCGGAATCCCCTGTGCGCCAAGCAGCGCTTCGACTTTGGGTCCCTGCCCACCGCCAGTGTGGTCATCATCTTCTTCAATGAACCCTACTCCGTGCTGCTGAGGACCGTGCACAGCACGCTGAGCACCTGCAACGAAAAGGCCCTTAAGGAGATCATCCTGGTGGATGATGGTAGCGACAACGTGGAACTGGGAGCCAAGCTGGACTACTATGTTCGCACGAGAATTCCCGCGGGGAAGGTCACCATTCTGCGTCTCAAGAACCGGTGAGTTAAAGCTACCATGTGTCTTGACCTATAAAAGTCGAACTGCCTAACGGCAGTTACCCTACCCATGAACCAATGTATCTGCAATATCTGTTTGCGCTTTCGGGTTTTTCCAACTCAAAATGGAAAGAATACGTGTGTTATTACTGCAATATAAAGGGAAATGTTTTTATAGGCCAAATTAAAGTGTTCATCCCTCCATTACTTTGAAAACCCCAAGAAATAATAGACTTGATTAGTGGCAAATATAGTAGATATACTTGCCCATTCACTTTCAATACGACCTTTGGCATATGCAAATACTGAGTGTTTTTCGAGATACAATTCGAAGCATTTATCTCATTAGCTTAGCTATGCATTTATTAAAAAGAAACTTGCATATTAAAAACAGAAATCAAATATATACAAGTTTCTTAATTATTGTTCATAAGTGCGAAAGTGCATAACAGGTGAAAATTTCACACCTAGATAATTTCCATTATTGCTATAGGCTAGGAAAAGTTCAGCAATTTGGCTAATCGAAACGCTGACGACTTGAACTCATTTGAATAACTTGTTTGCCCTGTCAGACACGCATGGAGCATCTTCTTTTTGGCCAGAACCGACAAATGCTCAAAAAACCAAAAACTAAAAGCCGAAAAAAAATGAAGAGAAAACCAGTTCGTCAAGTTACGATTATGTGTGTTGGGCTTGAATTTTTGTAACTCCCAGACTCGGTTTCTGCGCGCATTACACTCGTCAACCCGTGAGCTTTGCAGACTTTCGGATGACTTCATGCGGTGGATGCCATGTAGGTTGGTGTTAATCGTGCTTGGCAGACGATCGAAGGTTTTCGAATGACCCAATAAATTTGTTTTGTTTTGCCCTTCACATAGCTAAAGAAAGTTTTGGCCCGTCTCTTTGCAGATTGGGTTTGATTCGTGCCCGATTGGCCGGAGCGCGAATCGCCACAGGGGATGTGCTCATCTTCCTGGACGCCCACTGCGAGGGTAACATTGGCTGGTGCGAGCCACTCCTGCAGCGCATCAAGGAGTCGCGGACTAGCGTGCTCGTGCCCATTATCGATGTCATCGACGCCAACGACTTCCAGTACAGCACCAATGGCTACAAATCCTTCCAGGTCGGCGGTTTCCAGTGGAACGGCCACTTTGACTGGATCAATCTGCCGGAGCGGGAGAAGCAGCGCCAGCGACGCGAGTGCAGGCAGCAGCGGGAGATCTGTCCAGCATACAGTCCCACTATGGCTGGTGGACTGTTCGCCATAGACCGTCGCTACTTCTGGGAGGTGGGCAGCTACGACGAACAAATGGACGGTTGGGGTGGTGAGAACCTGGAGATGTCCTTCCGCATCTGGCAGTGCGGCGGCACCATCGAGACTATTCCCTGCTCCCGCGTGGGTCACGTATTCCGCGACTTCCATCCCTACAAGTAAGCCAAAGGAACTAGTATTATTCTTTTAATTTATGGCCAAGCTGACCTTCAGTGGGAAATATAGTAACTTTTTGTCATATCTGTTGCTGTATTATAATGAGCTCATTCAAATTCGTTTTAGATTCCCCAACGATCGTGATACACACGGTATTAATACTGCCCGCATGGCCCTGGTGTGGATGGATGAGTACATAAACATATTCTTCCTCAACCGGCCGGACCTGAAGTTCCACGCGGACATTGGCGATGTCACCCACCGAGTAATGCTGCGCAAGAAGCTCCGCTGCAAGAGCTTCGAGTGGTACCTGAAGAACATCTATCCGGAAAAGTTTGTGCCCACCAAGGACGTACAGGGCTGGGGCAAGGTGCACGCCCTGAATTCCAACATATGCCTGGATGACTTGCTGCAGAACAATGAAAAGCCCTATAACGCCGGCCTGTATCCATGCGGCAAGGTGTTGCAGAAGTCGCAGCTATTCTCCTTCACCAACACAAATGTTCTGCGCAACGAGCTGAGCTGTGCAACCGTGCAACACAGCGAGTCGCCACCGTACCGGGTGGTGATGGTGCCCTGCATGGAGAATGATGAGTTCAACGAGCATTGGCGATACGAGCACCAGCACATCATTCACAGCAACACGGGCATGTGCCTGGATCACCAGGGACTTAAGAGCCTGGACGACGCCCAGGTGGCGCCTTGCAATCCCCACAGCGAATCCCAGCGATGGACCATTGAACACTGAGGAGATGAGGTGTAGCGGGGGAATGGGATGGGGACCAAAGCAACTGAGAGATACTGACTAACGCCGACTGAACGGAACTCGAATTCAAATTAGAAGAACCCTTTTGTAAATACATAAATCGAATCCTAGAATTATATATTTTCTGTACACAAATCGTGTATAATAAGAAGAGAGGAGACCGGGTAGCTAGTGCAAATCAAATCCAATGGAATCAAATCAAAAGAGGAAACCAGCAAATCAAACGCAAACGAGTCATTTGGAAAGCTAATAACAATTAACTGTGTGTTGTGTACTTTGTATGTATAAATATAAATAGAGCAAGCTGTAAGAATAGAGAGTCCAACCATCCTATGTAAATGATATAGTCGCCATGTGATCGTGTAAGGATGTAAGACAAGGTGTGGAACGATTGCATTCCATGGCCAGGGATTCAACAAGGAGCTCCCCTACGTGAGAGCACCCAGCAATAACCAACTATGTAAACTGTAAACTAAAAGTGTTGTAAGCATTTATCTACTAACATAACCATTTTGCCATTTGTTTTCATGAATAAAAACGTCCGACTGGAGGATGAACATCTTCAAACGAACCACTAGTAGCTTCACTTGGGTCGAAGGTGTTAGGCCAACAAAATGCAACAAGTTAGTAGCAGTCAAGGCCGAGCTCAGCGTTAATCGCATTGGCTGCTTGTTGACCCAGCCGCTAAAAGTCCACATTTAGCCCCCAGCTGTGAAATTAAAGCCAACTCCATTGAAAAATGTCCATTGCATGTTTGTATATTTGTATTTATAGATATAAGTACATATTTCATATTCTCTTTAATTTGTTTTGCTTTGTTGAAGTTGTTTAAATTTGCTGATTACGCGTGTGTTTTTGTTTAATTTCTCTGGCGTGTTTGCATTAAAATACTTAAATTGGAGTAAAACATTTGTAAATTACTAGAATTATCTTTACGGTTTCCGCTGCTGACACCTATTTTCTGTACCCTAGTTTGTTCTGAATTTGCTCTGCATTCGCAACTACAAGTGAGGAGTGAACTAAACTGGCATATCCGTACTTACAAACCGAACGAACCGAACCAAATTCATCAACAATGGCTTTGCTTGGTGCGTCTGTTTGTGTACTACGAGTATGATAAAGTAGATCTTGCATATGGTTTAGTTTATTCATTAACTCGTGACTGAACTCTTGGATAGTTTATTTAACGGCTGATGGAGTCGAGCTATAATTGTGGTGTAATAACATTTATTCGTTGACCGTGCTAAAAGCTCTAAGAGTGCGCAAACTTACGAGTAAACTCCTCCGAAGGCTGCCTTCCGATCCTACATCCCATATAATATGTGTGTGCCTAACATTCCGTTACGCTAGAGGCTAGATGCTATATGCTAGGTGCTATATGCAATGGCAAACTATTTCATTTGCGGGGCTGATTGCATGAGAACTGCACTAGATTGCACAAAAATATGATTAATTCTTTAATAACGTCAAGGTACGATTTAATTTGTCGGCGTTCCAATCGCGATCCCTACGGCTACTTAATTTCATTGCATTGCACACTGACACTGACTACAACTATGGCTTCTCGATCTATTTTACAAATAAACTGACTGGGCTGCTAACTGCTGCTAACTTTCGTTTTCAATCGGGGACTCGATAACGTTACTCAATCAACCTCTAATTGAACCTCTAGTTATTTGCGCTAGTTAAATGCGTTAATTTGATGGTGATTTTGCCGGTCATAATGCCACACTCACTATGTACATTCATGTGATTAAATTAATTCTGAATTGTAGTGCTCAACCGATTTGAATTTGAGATGCGGCGTCTACAAAATGCACACACATACGTGTATAGTACTCAAACAAATGCCCCTGGTTGGGATTTATTATTCGGGATTCCCCCAGGGAGCACTCAATATTTAAATTAGTCCTGTCTCATTTGGGTTTATCATTGGTAAATATGCAATTTATATTTATATTCATGAATATCCATGCAGTTGTAAGTATATATCATAGTTGTATCTTGACCTTGGATTTTAAATTTTGGACGTATTTTCAAGTATATTTTGGTAGTTGCTTTTCGCTTTTACGCAAGTAGAAAAACAGTTCGAAAATATATACCTAATATATATATAAGTGGTGTATATTTATGCTTGTATACACTGGATGAATGGTTGTAGATCTTCCAGTTGGGGTTTGACCTTTGACACGTCCCCAACTGTTTTCTGTTGGATTTCAGTTTCAGTTTCGTTTTTGGGTTTTCTAAGTGTAAATCGCTCTTATTGTGTTTTAAATTGCAATTTATCTCAGACTCAGTTTTGGAGTGCTTTGGATGTTGGTTGGTTGGATGGATGGATGGATACGTTTACGGTTTTACGTACAAACGTTCTTTAGCCGGTGCCAGATTCAATTATTAACTTTCCCATCTTATTTCGGCACATTGTCAATCATCTTTGTGTACGATTATTAAAGTATCTTAACATAAAATCGAATATTTAATGCAATTATTGCTTTCTTTCATTTTTGGACTTTACACCAACTTCTGGCTCGGTGCTAAGTTAATGGTACTTAAAACGCCTCACAAACATAGTCACACAACCTTCAACATTGATAAATACAACTTAAAGATCCTAACACTTATATTGCACTTTCCGGACGGGATGGGAAAATAAAAGAAATCATAAGTAATGAGCTACGTGTACGGTAAAATAAATTTTATTTATATATATGCATATATAAAGGGAAATTATAAATACATCACATCAAAATAATACAATTTACATATAACTGCGACGGCGCGAAGCGACTTAATCGAGGAGTAAGTTCCAAGATACGACCATCTTAGGAGGCTTCAATTGCTTAGACGCAGGTTTATAGAATATGTTGCTTTCATTATTACTAACATCGTATTGTATTCGTAATTGTATATAAATGCGCTAAAAAGAAAATGAGCTCAGGAAAGGAAACATGGAGACGAAATTATTGCAAGATCTTAATTATAAATATATACAAATGATTTATATATTGAATACAGTCAATAACAAGTAAAAATATAAGCTCATCGTTAACCAAGTCACATTGATATCAAAAACAATTTAACTAAACTAAAGGCAAAGAACCATTACAAAATATATCAGTAAAGCGCTTCATTCAAAAATCGAAAAGCCATAAACGACAATTAACTACACGAACACAAAACAATGGAATCAAAAGTGATTGTTTCACACATACATTAATCGAAGGGTCGCTAAATTTTACGATCTCGCTCAAGTGTTCGAAATATTGCAACTACGCAAATGCCTACCCGGCTTAGGTTAGATTAGTATCGATTCGTTTCATTTAGTTTAGTTTAGCTAGATTAATAATTAGTTCTGCTGTAGACACCGCCTTAAACTACTTAGAGAAGCGTGTGGATAAGTGTACGGCATTTCATTTGCGGCATGGGGTGAGAATAGTTAAGTAAGCTAGAATATGATTGGCATGAGGAGTATGCTCCGCATTGTTCGTTGCTTGTCGAGTCGCTTTTCCTTCGTCCTCCTCGTTCTCGACATTGTTATCTTGGGTGGCAGCTTTAGAAGGCCGTCGAGCGTCGATTGGCATAGCATTTCTTGCCATGACTGTTCGCATCTGCAGCGCCGCTGGTTGCACGCAATCTGTGGCAGGTCGCCGGCTGGCTGCTGGCAGCGCTGGTGGCTACCGTCGATTGCCTGCAATTAGTCCAACGCTGCAGCTGATGCGAACACTTTGGGTACAATCATTTACGCGCCGAAAGGTTTAGCGAATCGCCGCGGCTCTTGGAGCGTGTCATCGAACCAGACAGGGAGGTACTCATCTCTGTGGCGAATTATACATATCAGTTAACTAACGTTATCCATATCCAATGCCATCCCACTCACCTTTGCTGATGCTGTTGCTCTTCTCGGCGGCCTTGTAGGCTCGCATCGCCTTGCCACGCTTGTCCAGCACCAACTTATCGGAGCGCACAAACATGCCGTGCTTGGGCTTGCACTGGAAATACTGAACGCCCTTCACGCTGCCGTCGTTTTTGCCCGTTGGTGTGTCTAATTCAACGCCTATCCAGGCACCGGGTTGGAATTCCGTGGTTCCCACAAAGCGGATGACGCCGCTGGTGTTATAGGGTCGGATTAGCACTGACTCGCCCACCACAATCCACTCGGGCAGAACCACTTCCACATCCTTACTTTCCTCTGAAAAATATTAGTTGAATCATTAAATGAAAGAGGCGGAAACAATAAATAAAAGTAAATACTCACCATCAACTTCTGTGCTGCTGGTCATAATGCTAGAGTCCATGTATGCGGAGAGACCCTCCATTTTGGCCACCGATGCCCGATGATTGATGCGTGGTGCCTGGCTTGTGCTGTTGTTGTTGTTATTTATGCTGTTGCCATTGCTCGGGGGCTGGGTGTTGGACTTTTTGCGCTTCACCACCTTACCAGCGGGCAACTCTTCCCGGACGATGCCATCGCCTTCGAGCAGATCCTCGGAACTGTGGCTTAGCTCGTCGCAGGACCTGTTGCCGTTCTGATTGTCTGTGGCAAACTCCGTTCGCGATTCAGGTTGCGATGTAGCTTCCTCCAGTTGCGTTTCGCCTGCAAGTTGCTTTGGCTCCTTTACCAAGTCCTCGTTGTTGTTATTATTCTTTGGCAGTTGGGCGCATTCATCATCATCGCTTTGTGCGTTTTCCCTGGACTCCAGCTGCTCCAACGGATGCGTGAATGCTTCCTGCAGCTTCTTAGCCTGCGGCTCTGGTTGCTCTTGAATTTTAGTTTTGGGCATGTCCTTGAGGAAGGGGTTAACTCTTGCCTGCCGGTTCGGTGGCGAATTCGAGTTGACTCGATCGAAATCTAAGGAATAAAATTATAAAAATATTATGGTAATATTAAAAACGGTAATATCCCACCTGGAGTCTCATCAATGCTCATGGAACGCATTGAAGCAATATCCTCGTTGCTCAGATTGTTGCAGGAGACAGCCTGGGAACCATAGCCACTGCTGGTGGATGAGCTCATGCTCAGCGTCGCCAAGCCGGTCAGATGCTTCATGTTAGCGTTGGCACTGGACGTGTAACTCAAGTAGCTCTGGTTCGAATGGCTGCTGACGTCCATGAATGAGTCCATCGTCTTGGAAGCCGTGAGGCGGGATCGCGTGGCCATGCTTTTGTTTTGCTGTCGCTCCTGCTCGTACTCGGCAGCGTACTCCGAGTCGCTGTAGCTGTCCTCAGGCTCTTCGTCGAGAGATCTGTGCCCGCCCAGTGGCTCCTCGTGCAACGTGGTCATGCGCATGCCCAGCAGCTTACTAGTAGCTGGCGAAGCTGTGGAGATATCAGAATGCTATGGTCAATTGATTCTTTGCCAATAAAACTCTAAGCTAAGAGCTAGACAAACCACATACGTTTCGTTGGCGCAATTCTCAAAGTGTTCAAGTTCAAATTGAGATTCAAAAATGTTGGACGCGCTGCATTCCACATTTTGGGGGGCAGGGAAGACAATGATTATGAGTTATGTTAAGTTACAATGCAATTTACAGACTTCGATGAGTGATCAACTGGCGAGGGATGCGACTAACTCGCAGCCCCAGCAACATACTATATTAACATCAAATGAAAATGAAACAAAGGTCTAGATTCTAGGGATAATAATCTCTACAAATACGCGGCACGTGCTAAAATCTCGTGCTGTGTGCTTTGCTGCTGTGTGATTTGTGCACCGGATTGCGTGGGTGGCTGGAATGGAGTGGATTGAATGTCCTGGAGATGAATGTACAACTGAATTTCGTCGCGATGTCTGTGTCGCAATGACTTTTTTAGATGAGAGTCTTGGGTATGATGTAAAGACAGAGTTACCAGCAAACAGAACTAACACAAAACTACATATAAACACTTCTAAATTGGGCACAAACCAATCCCTTTCATCTTGGGGTCATGGATTAATGAATGATACATGTCTGCAGATGAGTGGGTGTATAGATGGGGGTTGTGAGACAGACAAAATGAAACTCAACTAACAATCAATGCATAGCAATCAAGAATGCACCTTCGGAATTGATTTGGGCATAAGTTTGGCCTTTACCTGACAGCAGAGATATTGAGCCTGTTGGCCGTGGAATTTCATATAGATAACGTTACGTTGAAAACACAGAAAAGAGTTGGACAGTGTGAGAAACCATATAGTAAGTACGATAAGCTATGTGGGCTTGGTTCGGTATGGTTATGTTTTCATGGATGCATGTCAATTTATATGATAAGCAATGGAATGTGGAACAGTCGTGTGCATTAAGACGAAGAATCGCTCGAGTCCTCAGATCGAGTTAATGCGGTTACTCTTGCTAATTGCTTGGTTGCTGCAGGTGTTGCATCGAAGCAAAGCAAACAAATTGGGTTTTGAAAGTTTAACTAAGCAATGCGACAGTTCACAGAGTTGGAATCTATTGCCATTGGGGGAGTTGCTCTTGAGCACGAAGAAAGCATAAGTAAACAAACAGTTCGACAAGGATTTATCTTGTTGCCATTCGGATTATGTCAATTTATCTGTACTAAGTACAACTACAAGTAACAAATTGCGTAATGCACAAAGTAATCTACAAATTTTTTGGATTCTGTAAGAGAACCAAAACTTGAAACGAAGATAAATCCCTTGCTCATGAGCTTGGCTTCAACTAGATTGTGTATAAATTTTCCTGCACATAAGCATATGCAAAATTACTTAGTAAAATATATAGTGTGTTTAAAAACTCGGTTATATGGATTATAGTTTTAGTAGTTTTGCTCAAATATTAATGGTGAGTATATAGAAGAAAATGGTTGGGATTGCGAACTCGCGTAGACCAACGAAATACCCACCAATGCCAAAGGCTTTTCCGGGAGAATCATCGCTGCTTCCTTTGCCTCCAAAGCTGTGGCGACTTCGGATGACTCCGCCTGCTCCTGCTGGACTGTGACCTGCTGTTTGAAATTGGATAATTAAATATAATCAATATAATTAATACTACAAAAGAATGCTCACCTGGAGTAAACTTGTTGCCTAAAGCGCTGTTATTGAGATCGGCAAAGGACTCGGATCGTCCCACATTCAGCAGCGACTCCATCGATGCATCGAAGCGCATAATCTGCGTAAGTTTATTTATGAGTTGCTTGCATCATAAATGTGATATGCGTACGTTTTTTAAGGAACAAATGTTATTCAACAGGATGAAATAAAAATGGTTGAATTAAAAAACAAAAAATAAATAAACACAAACATAAGAACTCCAACCTTACAGAAATGGCTAACTGAAGGGCGCACTCAAAACGATTTATAAGATAGTTAGTAGTAGAATAGTCAAGAAGGAACTTAAAAACTCCAACTACTAAGCTTTTTGTACAGTGCTCGGCACAGGACACAAGGAAACACAGTACGGATTACAGAAAACAGAAAGGAGGATACTAGTTACTTACACTCCCGGTATTGGTGGTGTCTTTGACCGCCTATGTGCGCAGTGAGAAGCGTTTTGGGGCAACACACACACGTACACAGCATAAACATAAAGACAGGATAATACCAATACACACACACACACATAGAGGGAAATTCAAAATTGCAGGAGGTGCGCGCCGAATTTTGGATTTGGTTAATTTTGTCGTTTTTATCGGTGGTGAAACACAAAATTTTGGGGGTTAGTTTGGTGAAAGCGCATAGAAAAAGTGTGAAAAGAGAAAGAATTTGCGTTTAGTCAGACGATTTTGGTTAATTTTGCTCGAGTGTGTTAGGTGAGTAAGTGGAAGCAGATAATTCAGCAGCGGCGGCAGCAGCGACGAATAGTGGAAGCGGCGCAGCAGCAGCAGCTCGATGGAATGAGCACTATGGGTTTTCCAAGTAGCACACGTCCTTACCTGTGAGAAGTTCGGCACACTGACGGTCTTGCGCATGCTGAGCGGCTGGCCATGTGCCGTTTCCAGCTCCTTGACCGCCACATTCTGCCGCAGTCGGTCCAGAGTCAGTATGCTCTCCACCGCCGAAACACCGCGTGTGTATTTCTCTGCGGGATAAGAACGTCAATGTGATTCTGAGCACCATTGCAGAAGCATTCTTACCTATGTAGGTTTCGCCATCACTTGCGGAGCAATCATCTCCGCTGGCAGCCAACTGCGCGAGAGACTCGCGGTCCTCCAACTCCTCGGAAGCCTTTGGAATGTTAGAGACCACCTCATAGGTGACGCCGCTCTGCCAGATGGCGTTCTCTCCCCGCACAAGTCGGAACTTCTTTAGGCGGTCGGTTAGCGTCTGTCCCTTCTTGATGTTAATGCTCAGTCGCTTGCGGAGCACGAGATCCATGGGTGCCGGGTGCGAGAGGCGTACCGTGGTGCGCAGAATAAGATAGACCCGCTCGTTGGCCTCAGTGACGCGGTTCAAGGCCTGACTGTCGTGCATCGAAGAGTCCCAGCTGGCCACACAGCACACATCCTTATCCAGGTGCTGCAGGATTTGCAGCGTGTAGAACTTATGCCCGTGCTCCTTGGACAGAATGGAATTGATGCCGGCGACGGAAAGCTCATCGTTGGTGTTCTGTGCCGACAGATCGTCGCCGTTCAGGTTGAGGAAGAGGACGGGCACATGGGGCTCCATTCCGGACGGTGGCTCCCAAGAAGCAGGTGCTCCCGGAATACCCGAGCCAGGAGCTGGCACCAACACCGCATTGCGCTCCTCCGTCAGCGAGACCCACTGATGAACCAAGCTTAGCTCCCTCTCTCGCTCCTGCTCGTTCTTCTCCTCCTTCTTAATAAGCATCTGGATCTGTTGGTCAAGGTATTGACGCCTTCGTCCCAGTGCTTCGCTCCACTTCTCGCGCAGCACGGTGAGATCTTCCTCCTGGTAAGAATCCAGTGGTCGCTGCAGCCGGGATCGCACTGTCACACTGCCAATGGCAACGTTCACAATCGACTGGCAGATAATGGGCAAGGTGCCAGAGTTCTGCACAGGCTTCACCCGTACATTCACCCGCCGCTGCTGACCCTGACGCAACTGGTAAATGCCACCGGTCAAGACCTCGTTGCGATTGGTCACCTCCACTGGCGAATATTCGCCGTTGTCATTAAGCTCGTGAATCTCCACCCAAAGCTCGATCTTCCGCGACAGCTCCGCCCAGCGATCCACCAGGGAACGGGCCTTGGCTTGCTGCTGCTCCACTTCCCAGCCCTTTGTCTTGGAGAAGCCGGCACTGCGATGGCCCCACACCTCGATGGACAGAGCTCCTTCTATGCAGTGCTCCAAAAACTCTTCGTTTATGGTAACCGTGAAGTCCTGGGTGTGTTCAAACTTAAACACCATGTTCTGGTCGTGCGCCGTTGATTCAGCATTGATAACCGGAACAACCATCTCTTGGTGACCCCAAAAAGTGTACTGGCAAAAGACGAAGTTGGAGAGCGACAATGGCAGTCCACTGGCGCACTTGATCGTCACACGGCAGGTAATCTGATTGGATGTGGGATCCACAGGGTCATCGTACTCATCCCGTGAATCGTTAGAGGATTCTGAGACTGACTCGCACATGCGGTCTTGTGGCATCTGGCCGGCAATCCGCTCGATCTCCACCTGAAGACGACCCGCTACCTCGCCTTGCTGGCTAATGATCGGCGTATGGTAGTCCAGCTTGACGTCATGAAACAGAACCTCCAGGAATATATTGGCCACGCCAATGAGATTGTGGTTCTCTTGCGACTCGTAGAATGGATCCTGTGGCTTGGCATTATCCTCGTCCTGTGGAAATCCGAGGTTAGTTAACATTGACTGCGAGATCCAAAACAATACTAGCTACATCATAGTTTAAACGTGTGTGGTGTTCATGTTTTGGGGTGGTGGGGTGTGGTGTCTTAATTACCTTGTCGTCGAACTCGTCGTCTGAGAATGGCTCTATAAGGGGCTGTAGTCAGGGGTTAATTGAATGCGTGTGTGAATCGATACAATTATAAATGGTTAGTACACAGCACAATGGCAACAGGTAGATGAAAAAGAATCAAATCGATGCCAACATACCAGTCCGTTTAGAACGCGCTCCTTGTGCTCCTGGTACATCTCGCGCATGTCTATCAGCTTGTTTTCCAGCTTCTCCATCGTCCAGATCTGGCTGCCGGAGTTTGTGCGCTTCACCAGAATAGCGGGTTCGCTAACAAATGCCCCACGCCTTCTGTTGGGACTCAAATTGGCTGGCGGAATCTGCAGAGTGACTGAAAACTTGGTCTTCTTCTCCATCTCCTCTGCCAAAAAGTTAGCTTCCTGGACGAGAGAATTCGCACGCATAATGTCAGTTTTTAGCTGACCCAAACTGCGACGAAACATCTCATCTCGTTCCTAAGGGTTTGAAAATATTTAGCAAGTAAAATAACAAGTGCCTAGCGATCTCAGCTTACCTGCGCCCACTTTTCCACCCGCATTTGCGAAGTGGGAGTATTTGGGGTAATCTTGCCCATGCGCAGTGGATCGTAAGGAGCATAAGGAGCGTATGGTGTACTAGGCGATAGAATATTGCGCAGCTGCTGGAACTGACGCTCGTACTCCTGCCGTTGTTTTTCAAGCGCCACCTGCTTATCTTCCTCGTGCTGACGTTCCAGCCGAGCAATGGCCGTCTGGATAGGGTCGTTGCTCAGTTCGTTCTGCATAATCTCATCGCGTGCGAAATTGTAATCAATCAGTTGCGCCGGCGTCTGGGGCTCCGAGGCGCACATACTAGTGTTGTTACTCTTCGGCGAGTTGACGCGGAAAAAGTGGTGGTTGCCCCACAGGATACGGTCGCCGTTCTGGAGTGGTGTCTTTTCGACAGCAGCAGATCCGTTGACAAAGCAGCGCGCTCCCTGCACTGGCTCCATATACAGTCCACTATCCTCGATAGTGATCACACAGTGTTCGGGCTGGATTCCGAGACCGGAAAGTTGTATATCCGGCTGCTGGCCACTGATACTGCGTCCGCCAATCAGTGTGCGATCCTAAGAGTAGAATATATTAATCTATTTGAGTCATTGAGTTTTTTATTAAGTCTTACCTTCAGATAGTAGACCAGCAGCTCGTTAAGGGACGGATCGGCATTTAAATTGACCAAGTAGTACTTGTTCTTCTCTACCTTTATGCCACTGGCCTGTACACTAATGCCCATTTTCTCTAGAGCCTGCTGCCGTTCGTTCTGAATGCGTTCTGTCTTAACCAGCTTCTCCTCCCAAGTCTGCGATATCTGTTTCATCAGGTTCTCGCTCTCAGCCAGCTTATCCTGGACATCGCCCACCGGTGAGCCAGTGGCATGTTTCAGCATACTTCTAAGGGTCTCCACTTCGTGTCGCAGCTCACGAATGATGCGGGCATTGGGATCTTCGTTGACAACAGCGTGGTTAACAATGCGCTTGGCTCGATCTGCATAACGAAGCGTGGAAAGCGTCTCCTCGTAATTATCTGCCGACGGCGAGATTGTCGCTACCATCACAGTCCTGGAGTTGCCGCCCAAATTGTCCTTCAGCAGCCAGGTGAGCACGGAGTCGCGGTAAGGAACGAATTTGTCGTTACCGCTCTTCTTGCCGTTGGATTGATCGGCCAGCTTGGAAATAACCAGGCCCAGTGTGGTGAGAGATCTGGAATAATCACAGGATTAGATCAGAACATTCAACAGATTGGTTCCATTCAGGAATACAGGTCATTGCAATGCGGTTGCATTTAATCTTTCAAATGACCTGCGTAGTTGGTGGAAACAATGATTATTAGTAAACATTACTCACTTGTTAATGTTGGAGCCTTCCTTGAGACGATCGCCAACAGCTCCCGTTTTCACAGCCCGCTCGGAGCCAGCCAAATCCACCAGGGACATGCGGGACACCTTCTCGCCGCTCACGCCCGTCGCCTGATCCGTGAGTATCTGAGTGAGGACCACCGAGAAGACGGCGTGGGAGCGCGACGACTCGGCGTTCATATTGGTGGCGGCCACCGTTCGTGACTTGTTGCCCTCGGTCATCAGGTTGTCGATATCCTGATAGGATGTCACAGCCAGCTGCGACAGTCCATCCACATATGGGCCCATAACATTATGCTCGCGTACCTTAAGCGACTGTTTGTTCGGCTTGGGATCGAGCAGATCGTGGACCTTCTCGTTATAAATCTCCATGTAGGACACCTCCACCTTGTACATAAGCTCCGGTGTGGATTTGTTTGCTATGGCCGAGAAGAGCTGGTCGCACAGACGTGGAATGATGCCCTTGCTCTCCTGGGAGCCCATCATCGTGTACGACTTGCCAGAACCTGAAAATTTCAATAAAAGATTAATGAAGTACGCACAAATGGTGAGTCAACCCATGATGGATCTTACCTGTCTGGCCGTAAGCGAATATGCACGCATTATAGCCCTGGAATGCATTATCCAGAATTCCACGTCCCACGCAATCGAACACAGTTTCCTGAGACGCAAAGTTCTCGTCCTCGGGGTTCAATGAGTAAAAGCAGTGGTCGAAGGCAAATGTCTTTGGTTGTTTTCTGTATTAAACGAAGGTTGAGATTTTAGCAATCCGTTTGGTATTACATAGGCATTACAATGTGGCTATAAGCCACTGTATAATTTAATTGGTTGTGTAACATACAGCTGATTAAATAATGTAAGCAGTTTTAAAGCCCCTTACCTTTCGATTTTTTCCAGTGTTGGCGGATTCTGCAGTATAGTCTGCTGTTTTTCCATTTCCACGATACATTTCGTATCCAGTTCGATTTCTGTAAGGCAACGAAATCACTTTTAGACCTCTGTTCCGGAATACATTTATATGTTATGTGTGAAATTGAGATAATTTCGCCTTTATTCCGCGCTTGGGGTGATAACGAGTTCAAAGTGGCAAAAACAATTTAATTTTATACACTTGCTATACCCTGCACATATGTATAACACAGTAGCCTGTGTGTTGGGTTTTTGTACATAAGTGCGAAAATGGATTCGTAGAGAGCGAGGGGCGATAAATGTGCATGTTGGGTATAAAATGCCAATGCCACTATAATCTCAATGGAGGGAAGCTTTCAAATAAATTGTAAACAAACGTAAAAAGGCAGAAAACTAAGTTGCCCAACCTAACCATGTAATAAATAATTTAGCAGCAATAAAACAATGAACGATTAGATAGTTCTGAAACGGATTTGATTTGGCTACCCTTGGTTATATCAATCAGCGGGTTAATAATCAGCGATATATATATTTCCTTCCAGTTAATATACAGTATTAATAGATTTCATATAACTTTTTGCATTTTGCTTCTACGTATTTATCATGTTTTTATCAACGGTGTGCATTTCCTAAATGCAGCAAGCGAGTTGACCTTATCGGGTTGATTATTCCATTCATCCTGGCTGGCTTGTGAAGAGTGCCAGCTAATAAATCGTGGAAATGTTTCAGTTCCGATGCCTCCTTGTGTCCTTCGCATACTTCATTCACTGCGAACAAAACGGCACGGATCCAAATGGCAGAGAACGGCGAAATGGCAAAGGCATACTATATATCCATATCTACATATTCAATATAGCACACAAAACATGACGAGCTGGGAAAACAGCGACGTCAAAGCCAAACCCAGACGGGCAGACACATTTGAGCCCACACACACCAGTCGGTGAGGAATGGTTGGGGTACCTATAGGTATATATATACATATATGTGTAGGGCCGTATCCTGGTGTGCTGCCTGGCCTTTGGAACTTCCGTTCCGGTTTATGTTACACAGCCGAGAACGTGACATGACATGGAAATGAAAGCCGCAAAGGACTTAGGAGAACAGACCTGACCCTACCGGCTGGCTACGGGCTAACATGTCTTAGCCAAAGTCTCGAATGTGACGAAGGCGTGCCATAAATTATTTGATGGTCTCATTTGTAGTTCTGGTCAGTTGATTTGATGGCGGGTTCGTATAACCTCAAACGGTTTTCACTTCGCTATTGTCCAGCGCTGAAATTAACATACATACACTTCGCATACACTGGCATAGTGAAAACAGGTTAAGCTTTTTGGTAAGAAAATAAAGAGCTCTGACTTCATTTCGAGCTTGTTTCGCCTGACTTTTCAGCTGCCTTTGGCGTGTCTTTGCGTTTGAAATTGCCTTTTCTGTTTTCATTTTACGCTCTGCTGGCCAGCTCAACACGGAGAGGTCACCAGTTACGGACATGGCCCAAATGCGCTATTGACTAACGCCAGTCACTCCAAGTGTGTAACACGGTGGGTATCGCAAACCAAACGACTTTATCAGCGGTGATAACAATTCTGCACTACTTATCGCAGTCTTCCTGTGACTACGACTACTACTCTCTTCAGTCACCAAAACGCCAACGGATCAAGTTGCTCTACAAACAGGCCAAAGACATGACTACGTACATCATCGATACACGGTCAAACTTCTAAAAATACACGCAGTTACTAAGACCATGCGTACGCCTAACTTGGCCGGAAAAAATTACAAGTGACACATTATGATGGATAACCAGAAGTAGTTGTTTGTTTGCCAATAAACAAGTATATACAAGTGCTACGGATACAATTAATTATTTTCACATGTACGGTTGCTACGAACTTGCAAATTCCCTACAATGTAATGCGAAGTTAAAATCTCATCCCATTTGCTTGTTTGCTTTTAATCGTTAAGTACTTCAACTGAGTGCATTTGCAATTATCCTAATTCCATCCATTAGCTTTGCTAAAAATAAAGACCTAATAGGTTAGAGTCTATCAAATCGAGCTACGACAAACTAAGTATGAAAAAGCTACAAAATAACAACAGATAAGTGCAATAATCGCTTATACAATCATGTAAATATATGCAGTCATCGGACGACGTTTGTCATCCAATTCATAATGCGGGAATTGAAGCGGATCTTGACCCATATAAAAGGAATACTTTCTAAGCCTCGATGCAGTTTGTTGATTTATGCCACCTAGGGCGCACAAACATTCAATAAATGTAACTTATTCAATGCCTTATGTAAATATCAACAATTGTGCAATCAAAGTTTGCCATTCAATCAATACAGCGGGGATCCAAGTGGACCTTGCCCCACGCACAGCCACATACTACAAAATACACATGCGTTCACATAGGTATGTTTGGCATATGGCATATGTGTCGTAGAGCCCCTTTTCCGCTGGTATCCTGAGTTTCCGCCGCCACCGCCGCTGTCGCAGTGAGTGTGAGTCATGGATGAGCCAAGTGAATGATCAGTGTTGACATTGGAAACGCTGACGGCGGTGTTGCTCGTTTTTATTATTTTATTTCGTTTTTTTGCACTTGCAACATTTCGTGGCTGGCAGTGGGAAACGCGAAATTAGCTGGAAACGAAAAGCGTTTGCAAGACGACCAGACCAGGGACACCATCTCACACCATCCCATACCATACGATACCATCCCAATCCATCCCGTAGGTAGGCGCTGCAGTTGGTGTACCTCTTAAGCCCTGCGAAAAATCCGCTGGCGCAGCAGTGGAAAACGAAACCGTATTTCAAAGGAAGCGAGGAAGCCCATGTAAATTTCGTTAGCCTAAAAAAACAGTCGCTTGCCTGGTTGTTGGCATTATTGATTGCAGGCAACTGCAGTGCTTTGCCATTGGCCATTGTTTGGAAACAATGTGGAAAAGTGGGGGGTGAAATGGAAAATGCGGGCCACTCAAGGCAACTCCTTATGAACTGCGATATCAACTCCTAGAGAATAAATTGAGTGATTGGCATCTGATGTTATAAATCTAGAGAAGTTTAGCAGTTGCTATACTTTATTATACTTAAAAAAATAAGTAAAGCGTAACCCTACGACTGCAAATAATAAACAATAATAAATCGAATATGATACGGCGAATATTTGGGCGATAAATCATAAGTACATTACGATAAAGTTAGATTGAAGATGAGTACACAGTGTTTATCTATAGCTCATTATTATTATGCAAATTCCCTTTAGATAATGGTACTGGCATATGTATATAAACTCTGAAACACTTATACTACAAAGCCCTTAGGTATGCGAATATTTCTCACAGTGCAGGGGATTATGTGGGGCATGTATGTAAATCGGCACTTACCTCGGCGATTGAAGGGTCGCACCCTTACGGCGACTTTGATCTTATCACTCGCCATCGCGGATGCGTATGTGGATGTGGATGCGGATGCAGCGGGTGTTGTTTTTGAATCTCTATTTAAGTGGAGCAGAGTGGAGATGCGGGTGGGCGGGGCTCCCTACGCGGGGGCTGCAGCGGGGCGCGTGGCTAGCTCCTCCTCCTCGGGCTGCGTTGCTTTTTGACTTTTTATGACCGTTAGTTGTTAGCTGTAGTTGTCGTAGTTGTCGTCCTCGCGGGAGTTTTGTGCACGCAATCTGGAAGGCAGGTGGAAGTCGTAAGCTGACTCACAAATATGGGGCTATTGTGGAGCGCCAAAAAAATAAATTATATATATTGTGTGAGTTCAATTAGCGCCACGCACACAGGCGCACGTCTAACAGTAAGTGGGTGGTGCGGGGGGTGGTTTTCCATTTCATTCTCGCCGTTTGTCATTCACTTTGTTTTGCTTTTGCTTTTTTGCTTTGTTGTTGCTACACACATACGCACACACACACTACACACTCACACGCACACGGATACGTTTTATTGTCATGTGCTGGCATTCCGTTATTTACGCGAGACACACTCAAATATTTGCTGGAAATTAGCTAATTAAGAATGTGATTCGAGTGTCCTGTCCGATTTTTCAGGGCTGTGCAAATAAATGTGAATATATACATACAGACTGATATTCTTTTCGCACTTTCTCACACAACCACACACACACACACATAGATAAGCAGGTATGCACTCTGCTCAGGTAACTCTCTTTAACCCTCGATCCTCACGAAAAGTTGGCGAAAAGTAACACCAGGCTCCACCGCCCGCGCAAAAAAGTCTCAAGCGCAGTGTGCGACTTCTTTGAAGAATCGATTTTTATGGCTCTTTTCCTTCGAGGGGAGCAACACCAATGGGGGCCTTTTTTGGCTGCGCACTCGCGAGGTTTTTATTTGTGTTATGCTTTGCGTTTACCCGCACCTTTAGCTCCTTCGTTTTCGCACTTGGTTTCACTTTAATTTTGCTTTTCTGTATTGCGTTTTCATTTTTCGCGTTTTCGTTTTTCTCAGCACTTTTTACTTGTGGTGCGAATCATCGATTGCTTTGGCGACTATCGATGAGTGTGACCGTGCGCAGGGTGCCCACAAAATACCACACCACAAAATACCATACCGAACTAAAAATACCAACAAACACATAGGTTTAATACTAGCTTGGGTGGGTGTACTCGCTAATTTCCAGGGATTATATTTTCAGTGTGACCAGACCCTCCTCGATGTAATTGCCCGAAATAAAATAGCGTTATTTTCAAATTTTACCTACTCCATTAAAAAAAATAGCTTACCGTAATATTTGCATAGAATGACGTTATTCAAATTCAAATTTGAAGAAAATGTTTATAATTATGTTAGAAGTATTGGCAAAACAGAATATTAAGTTATATTTCATTTACGTTTAATAGTAATAAAACTCGTTTGCGTTAATCAAGCTTAGTAGAAAAAAGTAAATGTTTCCAAAATTTAAAATTATTATAACTACCTCAGTTTCTTTTCATTTTTCAAACCAACCTATCCTATTTATAAGAAATAACAAAATAAGTAGAATTTTCTGTTATTCAACCAGATTTGATTTATTGTCAAAATCAACACTGAGCAACAAAATATGTATTTAGAAAGTTTGATGTTAAACACCTGTTTATTCCATTATATATCCTGTAATTTATTTTGACCCTGTTGTAAAATAACAGGGTATGTTGAACCATTCTATTTGCATTTAATTGGCACTTCCTGTTTTGCAATTCTGATTTTCAGTACAGTGAAACTTTCCTTGTCACAAAAACGGGAGTTGGCTTTGCCATATGTGTGCAATTTGAACAGCTTTGTTTTAGTTTTGCTTTAAATATATTGAATATATTCATAATGAAGGAAAGGAGGAGAAATTGTAGCACCTGCAAGTTGCTAGTTTCGCATTTGCAAGGATCCACTGCCTGGTGAAGGGAGTGCCGCCCATGGAGCTCCCAACTCCGAACAACGCCTCCCCATCATCGCGAAGTCAATGAACGCGATCGATCGGGGTGAGAAACAAGAAATAAGAAATAAGAAACGAGAAACGAGAACTTGAGACCGGCAATTGGAGTTCAACCCAGTGACGTATAAGTATGAATTAAAAGAGTCGATCGCAAATGCAGGCCGTTGCGATTCCCAAAAATAAACAGCGAAGAGCAGTTTCGCTTTCATCGCTCGCTTGTTTTCATTCGCAGCTTTTTGTTGTTGTTTTCGTTTGCATTTTGTTTAACTTAATACCCGCTGATACCTGTTCATGTGCGATTTGGGCGCCGACGGAGTTTATAAAGGTTTGGAATCGCCGCAAAGGGTCACAGTATCTGCGAAAGACGCGAAGCTGCGAGTGTCGCGCTAAAAATTAACACAGCTTCGAAAATAGTTTCGATTTCGAGCATTACAAGTAAATAAACAAGCCGAAGTAAAACGAATATTGTTTGGAAGACAAGCGAATGACAAGGACAGTTCTATATTGATTGGACTATTGTTGAAAAGTAGGTCGATTTCGACTACGATTAGTTGCAGATCCCGGATTTGCATCCATCCGATCCTTGACCCCCCCAATCGCGATCGTAAGCAGGCGGTGTCAAAATATAAATCTCCATTTTCCCTACGGCCATGCCATTAAAAACCATAAAAAACCATAGGAAACCAGCATGCAAGCCAGCGAAGCCAGTTCGCGAATATTAGTTACAAAACACATCGTTTGTCCAGCAACAAAAACTAGGCGATCGGGATCCGCAAAGTTAAGGTGAAGGTTCATTTGCATAGGCCAAAATAGGAAAATAAAATAATCGTGGATGCGAAGCCAAGCGCAGATTTGCGATTTACCCTTGAAATGGTTTCATCGAAGAGCCATTAGCTGCCATAAAATGCAAACTGGCTATCTGGGGACTTACAACTGCGACCCTCGACGACGCGTCGTCTTCGAGAGCAAAGAAAACATTGCCCATTGCCCATATTATATTTATATTTTCGGGCTTTGGCCCACGCCTGCCCAAATTGGCAAATCGCCCGCGGGACTTATTCTGGCATTTCTACCTCAATCAGCCAATGCAAACACGTTTAATTTTTATTTGGCATGAGTACTTCGGGTACTTTGGGTACGTTGGGCAAACAAGTAATAAGAGGGACGCGCATGCCATCTTATTATCAAAATAAATGTGAGCATGTGAATTCTGGAGTCCCCAGTCGAATGATCGCAAAAAAGTACCATAGTCGTTGACCTTTGTCGGTTTTTGCAGACTAATAATGGTAATAACACTGAACTTGGGGCTCCAATAGTTGGCACTTGGGTTGCCATGAATCGACGCAAGTGACAAGTTCGACTGATTTTCGCCTCTGGCATCCGTAAACCTTCGGGTGATACTGGGTGATTCGCTGTAGATACTGTATCTCACGAATTTCTCGTGAATCGAACTAATCCGATACATTGGAGCTGACATTGAGACGCACTTACCGTTTGGATGCGGCTAATGGATACTGGAACTGAGCTCCGCCTGCCGCTTGGCCAGCATGCCGCTTCCATGTTCTCCGATAAGCTGGCGGGTCCTCAGATGTTTAGCCTACTAATGTAAAGAATATTAGCCTTAATGTTTCACATTGAAGCTGTCATGTTGAACGGATGCCTAAAGAAAGAACATAAGATGGGAAAAGGTATAGCAAAATGCCATCGAATCACGAATATGTTTCGACACCTATTTCCATAAGATACATGCCACCTTTATGATCAGTGAAAGTTGGTTTATTTAATGTGCTGATTTTATGAATGAATGAATATATTAGGAAACTAATCGATTGAGATCTCAATGGGTTAACTGGCGTCATTACAGAGCCACGGGTCTCGTAAATCTTTTCCGGTAGGAAGTAGACGTAACTTAAGTTTGTTTTCGTAACTGGAGAGTGCTCGTATTGAAGGGTCAACAATTAAACGCCTCTTACTTTTTCCAGCTGCCGCTTCGTTAGCGGTCCCTTGCCATGGAGACCCACTGGAGATCGGTCTTGATCATCAGCATCTGGATTTTAGTGGCGAATGCAGCCGTGAATGAGTCCACTTTGCGACGCCACCGCTTTGAGTACGGATTTCTCAATGGCAGCCTGGAGTTGACCACAGAAGTCATCTCTGCGGATGGGCGGGGCAAAGAGGGGTCTGCCATCCAATCCCCGCATGAGCACCATCTCACCAGGAGCTCCGTCATCTTCGGACTGACCAAAGCTGCCAACGAGAGCAATGTGAGTCCCAGCTGCCACGCCCACTTGAAGCAAGTGCGGCGCGGAATCCTCAGTAGGCAACCATGGGCCATGAAGGGTGAGTGACTCTCTTAGCAACTTAGTAACTTAGTAAATATATTTATACATATCGTTTTCCGTACATCTGCAGTTCTGGATGCGTCGGGAACCAAGCCCTCCGGCTTCGTGTTCGGCCAGAACTACTGGCTGGGCAGCCGGGATGGGTGCGAAGGAGTCCGGAGGCCCGTGGGGATCACGTTGTCGCGGAACTACGAGCGAGTGATGCACTACAGCATACTGACGCAAAGTGCTCCCTTTGGCATGGACTACCGGGTGATTTACATGCGCCACCGCTCGCCGTGGCAGGTGGAGATCAAGGTGATGTCCGAGCAGGTGCTCCACATTGGGCTGTGCCTGCCCAGCTCCTGTGGCTCCGAGGAGGTGAAGCAGCTGGCCAGGGATTATGTGGCCGGAGATTCGTTCGCGGAGGATGATATGTTCGACATGAAGCCGGAGGTGCTCTACATGAAGGATCTCCAGCTGAGCGAACGCTTCTACCAGAGGCTTACCTTCCGTCTGGTGGTGGCCGCCATCCTGGTAACCGGTGCCCTAATGCTCTGCGCCCAGCAAGTGCGCGTGTCCAAGAGGGCTGATGAGCCGGATCCGGGCCTGGCGCCGGTCGAATCGGAGCTGTGGCAGGCACTGGACACCCTCCTGAAGTGGCAGCCTTTCCAGAGCTTCGTGTCCTGTTTCGATGTGGCCAATAACTGGAGGAAGATCTCCGCCATGAGGGAGAACCAGCCAGGCGAGATTCCCATCTTGAATGGTCTGCGATCCGTGTGCGCCATCTGGATCCTGATCTTCCATGTGGTGTGGTACATGTACTTCACGGTGCACAACAAAACGGTGCTGATTTCCTATGCGGAGCAGGTCTTCTTCCAGTACGTCTCTACAGCTCCACTTCTCGTGGATGTCTTCTTTACCATCAGGTAAACATAATCATTCGATTTGTTTAATGATTTTATCTAACCCATTGATGAACAAATGGTTCAGTGGCTTCTTGCAAACGTACAACTTCCTGAGAAATGAGAAGCAGCTGGAGGCAGTGCGTCGCAATGGCTTGTGGGGCAATGTGAAGCTCTTTGGCAAGCTGCTGTTCCATCGCTACCTGAGATTGGGTCCCCTTTACCTGGTGGTGATGGGTAGCGTGGACCTGGCCTTCGCCTACATCGGAGATGTGTCCGTTTTCCACATCAACGAGAGATTCGACGAGTTGTGCCCACAGCACTGGTGGAGGAACCTGCTCTTCATCCAGAACCTCTTCGATCACCGGGAAATGTGCGCCAATTGGAGTTGGAGTCTCGCCTGCGACATGCAGTTCTTCCTGCTGGCAAACATCGTGCTCTTCATCTACGCCAAGTGAGTGTGGCCCTAAAATCGCAAAAGAAACATCAGTATTTTCATTATCTTTGTATCCAGGCATCCAAAGCTGGCCAAGGCAATCACCCTTACTGGACTAATGTCCACCATAACGTGGTCCTATGGCATTGGGATCGCCAAGAAGTTCGAGTTCTCCTTCGACTCCACCTACGCGACTGGCACCCAGATATACACGAGTCCCTTTGTCAGGATTTTGCCCTATATCGTGGGAGCAATAGCCGCCTGGTATTACCAGGAGCAGCGATTCCAAGTGAGTGAGCTGAGTGAACGCCGGATACGCCGCTGGTGGCACTTCAGTCTCAAGGTGTTCGTGGGCTGCATCTACTCCACGGTGAAGCGGGATCTGGGCCACCTTATCACCATTTCGCTATTTGTCCTGGGTCGCGCTCTGTTTTCCCTCACCGTTTGCTGGATGATCGTGGGCAGTGCATCGGGAACTGGCGTTTGGTGGTCACGCCTGCTGGAGGCCAAGGTCTTTCAGCATCTCAACCGCCTGTCCTATGGCATATATCTATTGAATCCGCTGGTTATTGCCCTCGTTTACAGTCTGACCAGTACGAGTTCTGCAGTTGATCCCTTTCTGCTGGTAAGTTCATTACTATTTTGCTCATACTTTATGATAATCTTGAATTACTTCTATAGAGTGTTATCTGCTGCGGGTTTACGATTATCGTTTATCTGGCCTCCATCGCCTTTTCGCTGGCTTTTGAGCTGCCCTACAGCAATCTGTCCGGCTTGCTGCTCAAGGGAAAACCAAAAACCTCATAAACTGTGATTACATTTCATTGTCAGCATCGCATCTAAGTCATTTATTAATAGAATGTTATGGTTACAACATGTTATCTTTTATTGGAACTTTCGAATTTAGAAACTTTAATATAATAATAAAATTAACATATAATAATACGATATTTAAAAAGTTTTGGCGCCAACGCTTTAAATTTATTTGTGGATGGCATTGGATCCCAAGTCGCGTCAAGATGATAAGGTTTGCATCTTCGCTAACTATACAAACGTTGTTTCTTCGTTGTTTTTCAAAGTAGTTAAAGGTAGTTTTGATTGTTTAAAGTTGTAAAAGGATATTGCTTACACGCTGACTAACTTTCCGGCTCCAAACACATAAACAATTTAAAAATTATAATCAAACTGACACCCGCAAAAGTGTGACCAGCTTATGTGAACGTGATGGAGGCTAAGAAGCTTTTCCGCTAACTTTCGCAAAGCTTATAGTATTTTATATGAAAAACCCTACGGACCCACTGACCGCGTCTAAAAAAAAAAGATCTTGTCCAAAATATATTGATTATTGCCACTGCCAGTCTGCGTGCTGCCAAACGAAGCCGTTAAACAGTTTGCCCAGACCCGGATCCTGATCGAAATGCCCAAGGAAAACGCGGAGCCATCGGCAAGTGGCCTTGCAGTGACCGCCAAGCAGAACGATGCGCCACCCGCCGAAAATGCGAATCACAAGGAAAGCGACGCCTCTGCCCCCGCCTCTGCCAGCGCCAGTAGCGCCTCGACCACGCCCCCGCCTGCCCAGGACGACGCCGAGGAGGCGGAGTTGCTGGAGCGGATGCGCGGCGATGCAGTCGGCAGCACCATGTTCAGCAGTCGGTTCATCCTGAAGACTGTTATGAAGCTGGTGGAGCTGCAGCCGGAATCATCACTGGACCAGCAGCTGGAGGATGATCTGTGCAAGGTGTGGGACATGTCGGTGTCGCCCGAAGTGGTCACATTGCTGCTGGAGAACCAGGCCATCGATCCGATCATGTACTCCCTGCTGGCGGGCTGTGAAGATGTGCGGCTCTATGAGATTCTCATCGGCCTTCTGGGCAACATGTGCGCCCAGGTGGAGTGCGCCGAGCTATTGACCTGTAACCACGGCACGATGGAAACCCTGTTCAAGCTGACCAACTGCATGGACACCGCCATGTTGATACAGCTGATGCGACTCTTTCAGTACATCATGGCCCATGTGCTTAGCGGCAAGGAGCAGTTCGCTGTGGACTGGTACATCTGCTTTGCCGCCTTTGAAAACTCCGCCCAGAATCTCGGCAAGATTTTGCAACAGTCTGTTAGCGATGAACTGCTAGTAGCTGCATTGAAGGCCACAAACGCTGTGCTGGCCAGTTGCGCCTTAGTGGAGGAGGAAAACGCAAAGTCCACCTTGAATCTGAAACCCTTTGCGAAGGTATTTCTAGTGCCAGAACTCTGCGATGGGGTCAATAGCGCGTTTCTGCGACTGATGCGCGATGATCAGGCAAAGTTGGCCGACGAGGAAGCTGGCGAGGAGAACGAAGATGCAGAAGTGCCAGCCGCCCAGGACAGTGATGAGGATGCCGATGTCGGCTACGACTCGTGCGGACCGAAAATAACCTGTGATGTGGAGATCATACAAACCTACCTCAATATATGCACCATTCTGGTCCAACTACCAGAGGCGCAGGCATCCATGGATGTGTATGCAACTAGTATAGTCAGTTGTTTGGCGCGAATACTGCAGTTTTTGCAGCAGCCTCTGCAACTCATTCCATTGGGCGAACGCCAGGAGGAGTACCTGGAGGATCTGGCGCACATTTGGAGTGTGAGTTTCGAAATGTTACTCATTATTCGAGGAGTTAATTAAATATTTATTGTTGCAGCGCCTGAAGTACTTCTATCACAAGGAGGCCTTCTCCAATCTCTTGGAATTATGGTATAGACTTAAACAGCACATTGACAATTACACAGGAAGTGATCCAGAGGCCAATGATTTCGAAGAGGACGAAGAGGAGGAGGATGACGCTCCAAAGGAGCAGTATGTGGAGAACGCCTTCAAGTTGCTGCGCCTGTTGGCATGTATGGTGATAAAAGCGGAAAACTCGGATCTCCAAGAGATTGGCGATGAAAAGGTGCAGTTGTTTGTGTCTGCACTCAAAGCCGGAAAAGAAGATGCTATTTTCTCAAGGGCACTCGAATGCCTGAACGATAAAGTGGCTAAGGAGTCGGGCCAAGCCTAAGCAACATGCCTCCATGAAGGATAAAGCAAAAATGACTGAGATTGTAGCTTGCAGCACAATATATTCTTAACTTAGTTAGTCTCTGTCTTTAGTTGGGTAAATCGGTACCAATGGCCTGCAACTTATGACGCATCATATCGCTCCATGACTTTTTTCCCAGGCGCACGGCCTTGGCACCTGTGCTGCTCACTTCCAGTCGATCTGTATTTGGATTGCTTAGCACAAATTTGTTCTTGCTCTCGTTCAGAGCATGGGCTACATGCTCCAGTTCGGTTTCCAATTTCACTTCAGGGGCTGTTACCTCGATGTGCAGATCCTGCTCTATGGCTTGGGATATGTGTATAATAGCCTCTTCTAACAAGTTTTCAGCGTGGATTTTGTTGCTCCCCACTAGCTCAGAGAGTTGCACATTTAAGCTGCCTCCTTTGGTAGTTATTTGAAGATTTCCATGTACTCCAGCTGAAATGGGGAGTTCTTAACAAAATGGTTTAATTTTTCATTATCTTGCATACTCATATTGAGTTCCGCCGACTGATGGACGTGCACTTGACTGCTTTTGTGGACATTCTTGAGGTCCAGGCGCCCAGTTTGTGTGTGAAACTTTGAGTTTTCCACATAGCAACAGTCAGTTACAATACTACCAGTTTTGGTGGAACAATTCAAGCTGTCTCCCTGCAACTTATCCATCCAAATGCTCTGGAGAGAATATATACAGATCAGTGATGAGATCAGATTGATGGTTAATTTTTCCTCACCCCATTATGTGACTCTATTTGGGTAATCTTGCCCAGCAGTGTGCCCTGGCAATTGATATTGCCATTTTCGCTGTACAAGTTTATATGGGTGGCCTTGATATTTTTGGTAAGGATGCCTTCCTTTGCTTTGACTTGCAGGAGTTCACTCTGTATTCCTTCCACTCGCACACTACCTTTTGCGTCCACAGAGACGTCGGAACGCACGGGAATATGCAAATGGCATTCAAACTGCGAGGGCTTGTCTGCCAATTGTTTAACCACCACATTGACTACCTTGTCCTCATCGGTTACCTTCACATCAAGAGATACATTGGAGTTCTTGACTTGACCGCCTACCAACTGGGCGATGAACACATCTCCGCTGGTGTACTGATGCACATCCGCGGGCTGGATGCGCAGGAAAACATCAGACTTTACATTGATCCTGGCAAGGGGATTTACATAATGCAGGATCTCCTGATGGACCATCCGCTTGCTCACGGCCATAACTGGTTTTATGTGAGCACGGGACTTCTTTGCGTACTGGCGCAGGTGGTTGTTTAAGTGTGGCAACCAAGCGCGTTGCAGAAGCATTATAAAGCGAATAAAAAAAGGAATTTATTTGTTTTGTTTACTTTTAAATGAAAAATCAGCTGTGGTTGCGTATTTTGCAGTACTATTCAACACACTTCCCAGCACCAACTGGTTATCGATTGGCTACTGGCAGTAGCCAACACTGCCATCCGTCATTTTCCAGTTGGAGTTTTTCAGTGTTCTGCGACGGTTGCAGTTTTCTTGATACGCAGTTGAGAATTGTTTAGTCCAGCCAATTACCATCCGAAAAAAACAGCAAAATGTCCGGAAAAGATAGGCTACCGATTTTCCCGTCCCGTGGTGCCCAGATGTTGATGAAGGCCCGTTTGGCTGGCGCCCAGAAAGGTCACGGTCTGCTCAAGAAGAAGGCGGATGCCCTCCAGATGCGATTCCGTCTGATTCTGGGCAAGATCATCGAGACCAAGACCCTGATGGGCGATGTTATGAAAGAGGCAGCCTTCTCGCTGGCGGAAGCCAAATTCACGTCTGGCGACATCAACCAGGTGGTGTTGCAGAACGTCACCAAGGCCCAGATCAAGATCCGCACCAAGAAGGACAACGTGGCTGGAGTCACACTGCCCGTTTTCGAGTCCTACCAGGACGGATCCGACACCTACGAACTGGCCGGTCTTGCCCGTGGTGGTCAGCAGCTGGCCAAGCTGAAGAAGAACTACCAGAGCGCCGTTAAATTGCTCGTGGAGCTGGCCTCGCTGCAGACCTCATTCGTCACCCTGGACGAGGTGATCAAGATCACCAACCGCCGTGTGAACGCCATTGAGCATGTGATCATCCCCCGAATCGATAGGACTTTGGCCTACATCATTTCGGAACTGGACGAGCTGGAGCGTGAGGAGTTCTACCGACTGAAGAAGATTCAGGACAAGAAGCGCGAGGCTCGCATCAAGGCCGATGCCAAGAAGGCGGAGTTGCTGCAGCAGGGCATCGATGTGCGTCAGCAGCTCAATATCCTGGATGAGGGAGACGACGATGTGCTGTTCTAAGTATTACCTTGGATGTGTTAATTCCAGCAATATTATTGTTAAACTATTTTCTGTTCAGTAACCGTTTCCATATTGTAATTCGCAAAGGGCAAGCCACAAACTTAATTGTACCTATGTAGCAAAAGTGTGTAGACTATTCCAATAAGCAGAAAAGTATGTATTCCATTTTTGTAGTGTAGTGTAAGCTGCGCAATTCATGCATTAAAGTCTTGTTGTATCATACGTTGGGCATTCTGTGTAATTAATAAGCGGAAGAAGGAAATTTTCATTGCAAAAAGGGTCATCTGACTTATTTTATACAATAGCAAAAGCAACAAAAACCATCACACAGTCACATGACAGCAAACATATGTCTGATTGGAAGCAGTGTTGCACAGCGCGCGCAAGTGTTTTCGCTTGCATTCGATCAGCTGTTTGCGTGGCTCTTTCTGTGTTTGCACGCCTTTTAGCCGAACTTAATTTATTTTTTGTGAAACAATGTCCGAGTTCCAGGCCGTTGTTTTTGCCGCTGGACGTGGCACTCGCCTGCCCGAGGTCCTGGGGGATGCCCCCAAATGCCTGCTGCCCGTGGGTCCATTTCCTTTGATTTGGTATCCCCTAAATCTGCTGCAAAAACACAACTTTTCAGGTAATGCGGATAGTCTGAATTAAAAACACGTTTTTAATTGATAATTTCCCCAGAGGTCATTGTTGTGGTACTGGAGCAGGAAAAACTGGAGATCCAATCGGCTCTGGAAAACACTCCCTTAAAGCTAAAACTAGACTATGCCACGATTCCTAGTGACGGTGATTTCGGAACTGCCGACAGTCTGCGCTACATATACGATAAGATCAAGTCGGACTTTCTGGTGGTCAGCTGCGACCTGGTCAGCAATGTCAGTCTATATCCGCTGATCAACAAGTTTCGGGAACATGATGCCGCTCTTGCAATGCTCCTATTCCCCAGCGGATTCGAGTCGGACGTGGTAATGCCCGGTCCCAAGAGCAAGCACAAACCGGAACGGGATTTGATTGGCATCCATGCGGCCACTCAGAGATTGGCATTCGTGTCTGCCGCCAGTGACTGCGAAGAAACACTCAACATCCAGCGGCATCTGCTCAAGAACCGCGGTAGGTTGGATGTATACAGCCGACTGGTGGATGCTCATGTTTATGTGCTGAAAAAATGGGTTATCGATTACCTACGAAGGGTTGGTTTTATAAGACTTTATGATAAATAGTTTCTTATACAATCTATATTCAATCTTTGCAGAAGGAGAATATATCAACTTTTAAGGGCGAGTTTGTGCCGCACTTGATCAAGAAGCAGCACTCAAAACGCCTTCCGAAAACGGTGCAGGACACCACATCCGAAGTGGGCGTGGTCACCAAGAATGAGGACCATATTTTGCATGTGAGTAGACCTTTACTACTTGATATAATCACATTAACACATATAAGATAATTTGTATCCTGTAAAGAAACAAATCCTATTAACCTATTATGTCTTTAATTTTTAGTATGTGGGCCACACCATACTGGACCAGAAGGTCACGCAGACATCACTGTTCAACCAATCTCTATCCCAAGACCCCTATCATGGCGATATTGTGCGTTGCTATAGCATTCAGGCGCCCAAAGAGGACATCGGTGTTCGGGTGAACAACACTCTGAGCTTCTTAGCCATCAATCGAAAATTAGCCAGCATCTGGAACAATCTGTGTGGCGAAAATTACCCACTGATTTCTCCCGGAGCCGTAGTAAAATCCACCCAAACGAAGGAGATCATAGCGGCGGACAATGCCAAGTTGTCCGAAAAAACCTCACTGAACTTTAGCGTTTTCGGACCCAACTGCATCATCAATCCCAAAAACATTGTGGCCAACTCGCTCATTATGTCCAATGCGGTAGTGGAGGAGGGCTGCAACATCGACAACTGCATAATTGGCCACCGAGCACAGGTGAAGAGCGGATCCGTGCTGAAGAACTGCATCATTGGACCCAATTACGTGGTAGAGGAGGGCACCCACAGCCAGGCAGTGCATCTGTCCAACGCGGATCAGTTCATGGAGATTGATATACAGTGAGCGACTAACTTAATGTGGCTTCCTTTATTAACGAATTGAGTTAGAAGGCGGATTCTTCTAGCAGGACATTAAATATTACAAATAGGTACACAAAACTCGCGCAAGGATTTTCGGGCCTGACAGAGAGCTGGGGCGAGAGCTTAAAGCTACTTAGACGGGGAATATACACGAGAGGTGGATCCGAGGGAACGACAAGACTGTTTTCTGCTCACTCCTCTGCAATCCTCCTCACTTCCTCCGCTCGTAGAGGTACTCATCCTCGTAATACCTCGGCGTTGTGGCAATGAACACCTGCGGCCGACGCTGCTGCAGCGATATGTTGATCTCCTCGGGCGTGCGGAAGACCTGCTGTTGCTGCTGCTGTAAGTGCTGCAGCTGGGGAGCGGCAGTGAAGAATCGGTACGGCGCGGGCGTCACGGTCGGCGCCAACGTCTGTGGCCTTTGCTGGTGCAGCTGCAATTGGGGCTGGTGCAGCTGATGCAACTGCAACTGGGGCTGGACTGTGGTCGCTGGCTGTGGCTTCCGGTAGGCCAGGGTAGTCGGCTGAGGTTGCGGCTGGTGGCGGATCTGCGTCACCACTTGTGGTTGCGGCTGAGCCTGCTGTTGATGGTGCTGGTGCTGGTGCTGCTGTGGCTGCTGGTACTGTACCCTCACTTGGGGCTGCTGCTGCGGCTGCTGGTAGGCCACCACTTGGCGATGTTGCTGCTGGGGCTGTTGGTGTTGCTGCTGCTGGATGCGTGGCCTTGGGGCGGCGGGCAACTGCTCCTCCTCGTCATCGTAACGCTCGTGTTCGTAGTAGTTCTCCGGGAAGTAGCGCTCCGAGTAGCGAAGCGTCACATTTGGCTTGCTCTGGTGCTCCTGAAGATTGATGGGCTTATACAAGTAGTCGTTTACAATGTGGTACTTGGACGACTGCTTGCAGATGTTGTCGTGGGAGGGCGGCATGCAGATTAGATGGATCTGGTGGAAGGTGAAACCCTCGGGACAGATCCACGAGTGCTTCTGGCTCTCTTGACAGTAGTGGAACACTTCGCAGCTCAGCGACTCGTCGGCATAGTATCTGCAGTTAAACATTAACTTAAGTTATGTGTGAAAAAGTATTTTTTAGCTTGTACCCACCCAGAGTTCCTGTCCGTGCAGCTGAAGGAGGACTTACTCAGCAGGGTGGACAGACGATCGGGCTCCTCGACTTCTTCCTCCTCCTCCTCGCTCTCTTCGCTGAGAGGCTTCTTCAGCTGGCCCTGGATCTTGAGGAAGTTGCTTTGCTGTTTGGCATTTCGGTTGGCGTACACCGGACGCGGTGCCTCCTCTTGATCCTCCTCACTGTACTCATACAGCTGGCGCTGCTGCTGCGGCTGCTGGCGATATGCAAGATGCGTCTGTGCCTGTGTCTCGAAATCGTCCAGTTCCTCCTCTCCACCGCTTATGTCCAGTGATCGAGCCTCAAATCCCTTGGGCTTGGCGGTGGTGGCCGTGGCCGAGGGTGATCCGGTGGCTGCACCCTCCACGCAGCTGGCCCACAGGCCGGTGGACACAGCCAGGACTAGAAGAACGGCAGACTGGGTGCTGCAATGGATGCAATGGACATCATTTGATGAGTCAGGCTGCTTTATGATATGGGAAACTCTGTGGCAACCAGACAATCAACCAAAAAAACGCGGGAAAATATTTCTGCGAACCTTTTCGCGAAGATGCCGCCAAATTGCAGCCAAAGAAGGCAGCATCATCGGAGATCGTCATTGGCATCGGCAGCCCAGCGACCAGTTATGCAAGAGACCAGAGACCATACCAGACCAGCCAGGCCAGAAAACTTGTTATAGGCAACGCGGCAAGTCCCCCAAGATTGAAACGGGCCACGGAGTTCGCTGCATGGAGATGCAACGGCGGCTGGGAAGGCAAGGAAAGCTGGGCGCTGGGAATCACTGATCAAGGCATACGCTTGTTACCCCAGCTTACCAATATCCAAAGCCCAAATAAGAAGTTTACTTAGAAAAGTGTCCTGATATGGAGAATTGCAGAGTGTTTTTTAAAAGATCAAATTAAGTTCGGTTTTTAGTCTAGGACCGTCACTTGACCATGAATTTCCAAAACTAGTGACCAATAGTTCTTCATATGTCAGGTGTATAAAACCAACAACTTAATATTTTTAAAATATATCAAAAATATATTTCTTTCATCTAGGGACGACTTTCTCTATGAATTAGAAAAAGTGAGGAATTTATTTGATAGACTCTATTTTGCATTATGTCAATTTAAGATATTTAATCTGACACATGCACTAGCTGATATACCCGAGACCAGTCAGTATGAGGAGGATGCTCAGCTTGCGGCGGGTTCAATTTGAACGCCATTTACCCGAGACCCACTCGCTGACTCGACTTGGCTGAATGTCAACTGCTGTTCATACGCATGATATGTACCCCAGTCGCGGGGCGAATGGGATTGGAATTCCTGGCCTGGAAACCAACGGTCCGATCCGGTGGTGCCGGCCAGTCCAATTAACCAATGTTACGTGCCTGCATCTAATTGGGGCCATAACGTCAAAGCCCGAGTAAGAGTTGCAAATAGTTGGGCAAGGTGAAATATGCGAGAGAATTGTAATAAAAGCAAAAGCAAAAGTCGGTCCGGACTTTTACTTTTCACGCCAATCGAGTGTCCGTCCGGCTGCTGGTGACTTTGAAACCGACTACTCGGTGGTCTCCATTGATTTGGGCCAGGCCAATAAATCTGGAGAGCGTCTTATGCAAGTATCGAAATTTCCAGCTGGCAATTTGTCAGCCAGTCGCTTGGCAGCTGCGAGTTGCTAGTTGCAAGTTGGAAGTTGCACCTTTGAACTTTAGGAGCTGGCTGAGAGTGCCACTGTTGCCTGTTGCATTGTCACTGTCAGCGAACCTTTTGCGCAACCTCCATGGGAATACGGGGGAATCTGCCCCAAGGAATTGGGGCCTTCAGCGCCACCTCCATTCCAATCCCAATCCCAATCCCGCCTGCATCACATGCAAATAGCTGTGCGCATTCCAGCGCAGCCTGGAGTGCTCCACTTGCGGCACACAAGCACCACTTTCGCAGTCGCAATAGCCAGAGTGTCTGCCATAAATGGGGAATTGGTTGCATGTGTCGGGATCTGTCTCTGCTTTTGGTCCAGATGCAGACGTTATCGCACTGCAGTTACATCATGCATATATAGCTATAGCATAGAGCATAGAGCACAGAGCATATAGCATAAGGCAGTGGAGCAGCTATGGAGGCGATGCGTTGATGTTGATGTTGATGGTTTTCGTCGACCCCAATCCCCTGGCCCGATTTGGAGCCACTTCTGGAAACCACAAGACAGGCAAAGCCGTCGGTTTCGTTATACATTTGAGTTCAGTTGTGAGTTGGTTTTTCTCTGTGTGCCACTGGGGTTTCTTGCGTATGGAACTCGGACTATATTTGCTTTTGATTTCCTTAAATGTTGGGTGTGCGTCATGTTAGGCGGACATTTTTGGGGTGACATAAGCGCCGGTCTTAGATTACGACATTTGGCTACCACCTGCATTTCGATAAGTGTGCTGGTTTTTCGGGAAAACGAGAGTGTAAATTTCTTGTATAACTCATATAACGAACGCAGTTTTCCTGACAGAGAATTAAAAGCTAAGCCCACTTGATGCCACAATCGCTGGGGCGGCCCGCTGTTTTTCCTTCATTTCAATTTCCATTTCCATTTCTCGACTCTTTAGCGGGTAATCGGTTCAAGTTTGTTGCCTAAGTCTTTTGTTTTCACTTGCTGCAGTTGGTTTATTCGAGTGCTTAATTAAACACTGGCTCGTTAACACAACTCTCGATGCCATTAAACTGTGTGAAACATGAAAGCCCAAAAAAATAAACTACATCGCACTGCCTTAATTTTTTTTCTTTTTTTTTCACTTTTATCCATTACTTTGTTTTTTCCTTGATACAAATTAAGAGCTGTTAATGTGCGTGCAGCTAGGGCGGTTGCTTTTCGTTTACGTTTGGTTGATTTCGGGCATCTGGATAATGTGACTTTGTAATGGCTTGGCACTGGATTTTATGTTCCACCGTTTTTCTCTTTTGTGCCTCTTTATGCTGCGGTAATTTTCACAAATCTGTGACCTTCACTCGGGATGTCTTAAGTGGGTGTGTTTGTTTGCTTGGCCCGATGACGGGCGAAATCGAACGAGCCAAGGCAAAAGTGAAAGAAATCAATTCGATGGCAATTTATTAATTGCGCCCCCCCCCCAAATACACACACCCCATCAAAAGTGACCAGAAAATCGAAAGCAATTACACCCGGGGGCGACGAGGCAGTGGGCGTGGCTGGCAGCACGCTTGGGCAATTGCGCATATCTGTGCGTCGCTGTAATTCCAAACGTTGAAATATTGCGTATACGCCACATGCGTCGGAGTGCGTGCATTTGATACAATTGCCGCTCATATTCGCAGTCACTTATATAATGGACAGAGCATGAGTAATCCACACGACTTGACTTTTAGAAAGGACCAGCTTTGTGATGCAATCTGTCACGGCGATTGGATCTCCCCATGTCCAGCAGGCGTGACCGTTCCGAGTCCTAATCGATTAATCTAGTCTCGGACATTCGATTGCCACAAAGCAAACACAAATTGAAGCCATGAGATCAAGAGATTGGGTAATATGCAAAGGAGCAAAGTAACTTGTGGGATGTACATACATTTTATTATGAAAATCAAAGCTCTTTGCCTAGAGAATAAAATCAAATTTGCATAGCAAATTTTCATTGGTTTTTGTGGTTTCTAAAAACTGAAATCAAAAATTAGGCTTCTCAATTAACTATTTTTTACCGATTGCAATCTTAAAAGAATATAGTAACAAACTATATAAAAATCTATACTTTTTCGAGATAAATAGTTGGTTTTAAAAGTAGGTATTCTTATTTTAATCAAATTTCAGACATTTAAGAAACTCGATAATTTGATACTACATTTCGATCCTTCTAATTACAAGCTTTCCAGTAAGAAGTGCTAACTTTTCTCCGTGTAACAAGTCATATAAATAAGTACAAGTATCCCCTTGGGTTTAAGGCAGCTGTCTCAATGAATTGTCGGCGAACAAAAGCGAAAACTCCCACGCCAAAAACACACACAGACAGAAATGCAACAGAAAGATATAGAAGGAAAAGTCAGACCAACTACGGCCTGGGCTTGGGTTTCCATCTCAGACTGTGTTACGTATGTGCTGCTGGGTTTTGAAATCGCCCAAAAGAATATTTCGTGGTTGCCAAGCGGCCCAGAAAAATTGGGCCGAGAGAACCCCGGAGACCGAGACAATACCGAAAATGTTAATTATCGTTTGCAGCGACTGCAGCACGAATTTGTGGCCGCGAGGCAGGCCAAGTCCAGGTTCAGATCCAGGTTCGGACCATGATTCATAGTCGCAGTGGGTGGCTTAGAACTTACTGCATGTTGGGGCGATGGCTTCGGCGGTATCCCAATAATCCAAATAGTTTTGGCTCTGGATAACACACTGCACTCACTGGGGGGGAATCACTTTATGTTCGCGTGTTTGTCTCTTGGTTTTAATATTTATCACTGCGTTGCACTGCTCGGCAGCTCGGCTCTTCTTCTATCTAATGCTGCTGCTAACGGTTCACTCGCCTGGCTCGAACAACAAAATGAATGACTTTCTTTGGCTTGTTTATGTTTTATACCAAAAAGTACCCCACAGCCGAAGCCGCCCATTGAGAGGATTGGCCGAGAGAATAGCCACTTCTCTGGGTCTCTCGATGTCTCGGGTTTTCTCTCTTTGAGCCAAACTCGTAGTTTCTTTACTCAAAACACTGTGCAAGTTGAGTGGAGTTTTCCACATTGAAGCCAAGTTCGTTCTCTAAGTCTTTTGATATGCATAAAAAGACAAATAATTTTCCAGCGTTATATATATAATTTTCGTACATTATTTATACCGTTAATATTACTTTTAGAAATATAGAAGATATTAAATATTAATAATATTAACATGTATTAATATAAAACTTCACCGACCTAATCGAAGGAAAATCTTTACTGTGTCCGCTAACTGGGTTTTGGTTTTAGGCTTGCCCATTAGTCATAAACCAATTGATATTACTCATGCATTCAGATATATATCATGAGATCTGTAACTGTAGCTTGCAGTTTCGAAAATGCCTTTGCACATTTGCATCCATCAGATACACCTAAGTGGCCGTCGAACGGACAGATAGAAGCTGCTCAGATATAGTGTAATTAACATTTTCGCTGTTGATTTTCTCAGCCTTCGTTGCGCATTTTGCATGTTTGCTATTTTCAATACAATAACAACAAAACAGTTGCAGCAGCGCCAGCATCAGCAGCAAATAAAAAAGTAATAAAAATCATTCGCGCCGGTTTCTTCAACGAGGCTGCGACTTCGACTGCGATGCTCCCACAACGAACTTCAGACCACAGAAACGAAACCTGCGCGGCAACTCATCCCATCCCATCTCATCTCATCTCAGCTCATCTGGTCTCGTCTCAAGTCATCTCATCCGCCGAATGAAATGCTAAAAGCTAGCGGCTCACCGACACATTCGGCTAACACACATGTCTGCATTTGTTTGGCTAATATGAATTAATTTACAATACTGCAAACGCCTACAAGTGAGGGGGTGTGAGGAATGGGGGTTGGGGTTTTACTAACGCCTCCGACTGTTGAACTTTTGCGTTTCTGTGCTGCACTTGTAACTGCATCTGTATCTGCCTCTCCATCTGAGCCTGCTGCATCTGCATCTGCATCTGAATCTGAGTCTGCTGCATCTGTATCTCTATTCGGCGCACAGCGTTCAAGCATTTCAATTGCTTGGCGTTCAATGTCTGGACACTGACCGCTTGCATATAGCCGCAGATATCTGGCGTGTCTCTATACGTATATATAAAAATAGATATATATATATAAACGATTTGGCAATGCATGCAAAGAAGCGTAACGCAAAGAAAGTGCAGCAGCAGTAGCAGCTTGTTGTTATGATTGCCGCCGCTCGAATAAGAAAACTGCAAATGTTTGAAGCTAGCGATTTCCAGCCAGGTGATATAACAAGTTCACATAATTTGGTGGCTTTTCTTTTCATTTTTTCCCGCCCCATTCCACATTACATATTTCGCCTGGTAATGCATCAGGACCGACAAACAAATCAAGCAAACCTGCAAACAGCTTCACGATTCGGGGGATAATTGCAGTGGTGGCAGCTAATCAAAATTATTCCCAGGCGGGTGCCGCAATTATAAGGCATAATTAATAAATGTTTTGCCAGATTAGTCAGCGCGAAAGGCTAAGCAAGTTGTACACAGAAAAATATCACTTCCAAAGGTAGTTGAATCACTTAAAATGCTGATTGATTGCTTTTCAATACAATTATATAGATATTACTATTCGATTTTAGTAAAGAATGCTATTTAAAATTGGATTTTTATTATCCAGTGGGCCGGCCTAATGGATAGATAAATACCTCTATATGCATCCTAAATATTTTTCGGGTCGAAGGTATTTCTTTGTTGTTCGGAAAGGTCTTGCCGAAACGAACACCCGAAATGCACCTGTAACTGCAATGTCGCTGACTCCCAACAACGATTGTCCCCTAATAACACGGGTAAAAAATTCATTACACGAACTAACTGGCTATCTGGCTAACTGGGCAACTGCTGGCCATTATGCAAAGTCCAAGTCCATTCCAAGCTTGAGCCCGAGCCCGAGCCCGAGCCCAAGCCCAAGCCCGAGTCCGATCCATTCCATGCCAAAGCCATTCCAAAGCGGCACGTTTCGAGGAAGTTGATTGTCACAAAGCCTCTCATAATCATAACTGTGTTTGCTGCCCCATCAGCAACTACCACAACAATGGTTGTATGCCAGTAACAACGACAACCACGACGGTCAGGTTCATTGGGGGAAATTATAGACATTGCGGCCACTATAAAACTGGAAACAAAAATATTGTAAAACTGAAATCGCACTTGGGCAAGGCCTGGCGAAAAGATTTTGGAAATTATGCACTGCCTATTACCTCGTACTAATGCGCTTTTGTCAGTTTGTTAGATTTTGTGGCTCCACTAATGTTACATTATGAACACTTCAAATGGGAAAATGGAAGACTAAATACACATTAAAGAGCTATTTAAAACATTTCTCTTACTTTAACTTTTCTTCGTGCGGTTTTATGGCAGTCGTACATGTTTCGAAGACCTTAGCAAAATGGTTTTCAGTGCAGCCAGTTTAGTGCTGCAATTCAGAATTGACCAGCGGATTTTGCCACCTAAAAGGAAACCAAACCGAAAAAACTCATAAAAAAAGGAAAGAAAGATAAAATGGTGGAGAAATATTTTGCATGTGTCCACGGTTCACTCTTTTGTTTATTAACTAATTAGCCCCAATGCTTAATGCTCCACATATTTTCCAACCGAGCTGCGAGTGCGTAAGTTTGAGTTATGTCACTCGGTTTTCCCTCTTGCCAATCTCAATCTCCCAGTGCGGGATTTCTCAAGAATTGCGATGTATCTTGATGGAAAAAAGCGAAAGTAAGTAAGTAAGGGCTCGGAAACGCGGATCCATTAGCGTTCTAATAGACACGTCACTCCAGAAGTTCAAGGTTTCGCTCAAAGAGTGGCGAATCGAAATTAATTACATCGAAGTTGTATGGGCGTTGTTTGAGCACTCTATTCATGACTTTGCTGGTCGGGATTAGCAGTTTTAGATTAGCAGTTCGTTTGTGAATGAAACACACGAAAGATTGAGTAATTTGACTGAGTATTTCAAGGGGTTTCTTTGGTTTGAAAAGCAGAGGATCTTAATTAATTGCATTTACTGTCCCTCTAGTTGCGAAATATAATATATTAATATAATTTATATAAAACTGGACACTTAAATGTAAATTTGCATTGCATTTCCTAGTTGTACATATCTTTAAGAGCTCTCCAAAGAGCAACTAACTTTCGACTGTTTTAAAAACATTTGCAGTAGTTCCTCTCGGGAGTTTTGGGAGTTAATTGGCTCGCATTAACCGTGTGCTTAAAGTTATTTAATAGATGATTAAAGACCCAACAACTGACATCACCCGCCAGCATCAACGGGCAATCACACACCCACAATTAGCGGGCAGTCGGCTCCAAAAACCGTTGCGATTAATTCATAGCACATTCACGGCGCCATTAAAATTATAACCATCGTTTACGCCAAGTCCACAATGGCCCAGTACTAGACCATAAAGCCAAACTCCAAAGCCGGAACTCGTCGGCCAGATGATTTGTAAGTTTCTCAACTAGATTGTTTGCCGATTGTTTTCCGTGGCACTCAAAATCAGATCGTATCTGATCAGTGGAAGTTACGTGCTGATACCAAGTCGCTGCATTTTCCGTTTTTGGTGCGGAAGTGACTGTGAACTTGACATTGGGGGGCGTGCCTCGGGCCAAAGAAATGCAAATTTCTGTTCGTTCTCACAGCTCACAAAACAAAAGCGAGACAGTCGAGCGGAAGGAAGTGAAATCGGAACTAAGTTTTAGTCCGAGCTTAACTAGATTAAGTTCATTATATGCAGTATTCATTATCTGATCATTACAGCGCAGGATTATTGAATAAAACCCTGTAAAACTACTTACCAAACTATATTACCAAACGACCAAAATATAGAAAGAGCTGCAATATATTATTCACATTAGTGAGAAACTCCGCGTAGGTAAATCGATCAAAACGAAACAACCTTACCACCAGACTCGAAATGAACATATTTGGTTTTCGAGTGTACAAGCTGGTGCGTAATTCAATTGAAATCAATTGCAATGCCTCCGCTAACAAATTACCAATCCACGCCAACCCAGACATCAAGTGGCAACAAAGGAACAACCATTGTAAAAGACGATTGATAAAAAACCCAACAGCGAAGACCCAAAACCGAGCAAGCCAAATCCGCTTGTGTCCAATTGTTGCGCACTTGAAGCATGAAGCGTGCCCGTGGAGCAGCCACCTGATGGCGGTGGACCCCAGCTCCGATGGATGAGCTCCTTCGCCACGGACCGACCAATTGGGCATGGCTGGCTGCATTGGCGGTCCCACGGAGCGCCACAAAAGAAATGCTGACGCGCTCTTGGACTTGGGGGCTGCGAGTGGGCATGGTGTAGCCAGGTATTTTGATCGGGGCATGGATGGGAGGTGGAGGCCACAACACTCTACTCCGATTTGGAGCTGATTCGGGGCTGGCGGGCTCATTAATTTCGGCTCAAGGCATCGAAAAACGTTGTTTTTTAACTTTACGAAAACTTGCTCGTTCCGTTGGCGATTTGTAACAATAAAGTACTTGAAGTGCAGACTCGAGATAAAATTAAAGCGAGCACACAAAATTAAATTCGCAATTTTGTTACCATTTCCATTTCCATTGTGTTGGGTGCAGCTGGGAGTCGGACGAGTATGTCCGAGGGCAAGATCTACCCTCCGCGGACACTCCCAGGCCAACTATTAATTATCACAATTCAGCAAAGTCTGTTTGTTTTCAGGTCCGACCGCCCTATAATTACCCCAGCGTTCGCTTTAATTGCCTCAGATTTATTAAATGGGTCAGTCGCAGTTGGCAGTTGGGGTTTTTTTTAGTTTTTTCTTCATTTTTTTGGGTCTCTTTGCTGGCGTGAACTTGAAAATTGAAATTGAAATTGTTGTGCGCTGACCAGTCGAGTACAATGCAAGGGTATACAGAGATCATGTCTGTGTTTTTAGCTGGGAGGGTTCGGCATTTCAGTTTTGGTGGGAGAGTTCCCATTTTGCACGCCAAGTGGATGGGTTCGGGACAACAAACCTATTTCACCACTCTGGTTATCTGGGTGCCATCGTGTTAGTAAGTAATACACTCGATTGCTACTACTCTATTTCAAGGTCTCGCAATCAAGGCGATAATATTGCGGCTCTAGGAGAAAGAAATGCCGTTTTATGGATCCCCCTAATCTAGATCCCCATTCTTGGAAATTGCTTACTTTAATATCAGTACCAGGGCTTCGTAATTACACAAAGGACTTGTGCATATTTGAAACCTTTATTCGTAGTTAAACAAAGGATTTATGTATATCTATATCTCTATATCTATATATGTAGTACTCGTATATATTTTTGTAATTTGTATGACTTCAAAGCAGCCCTTTAAATAAAATTAAACACATATTAGAGAAATAAAATGTATAACAGAAGGGCACTCCCAGATCGGCCTTAACATATTATTATTATTATTATTATTTTGACCGATAAAGATTAATCGGTCGTATAGGCAGACTGATTAGGGAGAGTGACCACCTTCCATTGGGAAACTCGAGGTACGACCTGGAGAATGTGCTTTCAGTTGGCTTTCCGCACTCATCAAATTTGGTACAAGTAGGACAAGATGACTTTGGCCGCTTTTATTACCATGATCTGCTTGGCCACATGCATATTCATCAAGGTAAGTTGAGGCACATGAATGGCTAGATTAGTTCAGTATACAAATTTAAACACAAATTTCGCTTACAGGTTGCCTGTGCGGTGGCGACAAGGCGATCCCGCAGAGGTAAGTGCGCTTCGCTTCGTTACGAAAAGCGGCAATACGATGATAAGATATGGATTATGGCCAATCGAGTTGGGGGTCCGAAATCGGAGGGTTTCGATAGCTAGTCAGTTGTCACAAAGCACTTGTTCCACGAGGAGTGCCAAAGTCATGGGTGCAGGGCTAAGTTCGTTTTCCGTGGTGCTTCTGGTCATCATTCTCATTTTACTCGTGAGTAGCTGACGCCCTAACCCGAAGTAAGCACTACAGGATATCCGTTTCCCTATCCCAACCAGTTCCTTTCGAATGCCTACCGCAAGGCCAAGAGGGCTGGCCAGAGCCGCGATTACAGGGCTAGATCGGAGAGGACCACCGACCCACGAAATGGTGAGCGGGAGCTGTATGAGTTCACAAATAGGCTTAGAGACACATTTGATAACTAACTCGTAACTGGTCGCACATGCCAGCTTTATTGCCTCTGGCTATAATTAGCTCTGATTTGCTTATCTGATAACCCAGCAGAATTACCCAAGCTGTCAGGTTGATGCAACGCTGACTTTATCTCTGTTTATCGAAATAGCTTTATCACAATTTTCCCGGGTCTTATTTTGGTGTTCCCGTGGTTCTCGGCTCATTTGTTGCTACACATTGCCCAGACCCGGTTCAAAATGGATCTCGTCGAGGTGTATTACTTCATATCCTTCATTCTGATATTCCTTATTCTGATTAGGGTGAGTGTGGCTGGTTTATCCTCCTCGAGAACACTGCCTAATTGCACATTTATCAAGGCCTACATCTGTCCCCATCACAAGTGGAAGTGCGTCTGCTGCCTGCAATATAGGCACGAGTCTGGTGAGTTTATCCAAGTAACTCCGCTTCTATTAGTCAAATCGTCCAAATTACTATGTGGGAAGCTATTGTTTTTTGATCAAAATCATCAGCTAGTCGAAAATTGTAATCCCTATTAGTTGGGTCCAATGTATGCAGGGGTCTGGTTCTTTGGATTTATAGTGATCGTTGTCGTATTGCTAGTCGCTCGGGTAGGTTGAAACCTCAACGTTGATAGATACTTTAGTCAAATCACCCCAATCCCAAGGAGTGCTATCTGTTCATCAAGTTGAAGATCGACGACTGGAATATGCGGGTATATGCCCGACTTTTGCGCCATGAGATGATGTTGCGCCTGGCCATGGAAGGTAAGATCCAGGCTTTTAATGCTATATAACTTTGCAAAAGAAAGCTGCAAAAGCTCTGCCGATAAGATAATGCTTGTTATTCGATGGGGGTTCTCATAGATATGGGCCAACAACTTGAATCGCATTCCACGTCGATTTTCTTATACCAACAGTCTTGTTTAATCCATTGTAGACCCGAAATGGAAGCGATCGACACATTGTACATTTCGCTATTTTGCTTCCTGATGCTTGCTGTGAGTTTGCACTTTCAAAATCAGGAATATAACCTTAGTATTCCATCACTGGAGACACTAGAAATATGAACGTTTCTTAGAGAACATTTTTCTGAAAGTTGCAGTGTCTTCTAGTTTCTAAGAATCCTTTGAATTTCAAAGGCATTCCAATTGATTGAGATCTGTTTTTGTTAATATATAATCCCGTGTCTAGATAAATGTATCTCAAGGTGCGTAAGTCTGGTGGTTGGAAATCAAAAATTAGCGTAATAACTAAAGCACTCATATCTCTGGTTTTTTCGTTATTATTATTGAGGAAAGATAAACCTTAAAGGCTAAATATGCTTATAATGAATATTCTTTTCTGACGAAGTGCAGTTCAAAAGCCAAGTATGCTTTACTCAAGAGTTATATTCCTGATTTTGATGGATAGCTTATGATTTAATCACCGTCTTTCTCCCAATAGTTGTGCTACAAGAGCAGAAAGAACATCAGTTCCGGGGAATACGATACCGAGAGCATTTCGGCAGGGGGCGTTTCCCCAGGTGCGTAAGTCCCTGTTTGGCGATTGAGACCACCGATTGCGTTGGGTGTGCGTGTGTATGCCTAGTTTTAATCGCAATATTATATGTCGATTGATAAGGTTGTGCGCGATTTGGTTTTGTTTGGTGATTAGGCTGTTAGCAATGAGTGGCGTTGCCATTGCCATTTTAGCAAGGTTTCTTGTGCGCGGCGAACGGTGGTAAATCGGTGGTGGAGTTGTCTGTTCTGGACATCCTGTATTAAGTTCTCAGCTTGATAATGCCTTATTACGCTTTTATGATGATTGGCTGGTTCCTCATAATCTCAATTATATCTATACTGATTCGAGTAAGTTGTCATGTGATTGATCACGACATTGAAAGCTCTGCCCCACCTCAACCGTACCACATTGACCTTTTAGGCCTGTTGTCTGTGCGCCACGCAGAAGACTCCTAGACCAGCCACCACCAGTGGGCGTGGTCCAGGTCGAGGTCGAGGTCCTGGTCCTGGTCCTGGGGAGAATCCACCAAGCCGACAGCCCGTGAGGGTGCTGCAGAGCTATAGAATCGATCAGTCAGGAGTAACCCTAAGCACAGGTGAGCAGCCATTAGTCACACGCTTTTCCCGATAAGGTTATCTTTGGTGCCTCCCTTATCGATGGGTTCGGTTGCTCGGTTAGATTCGAAAATGTTCGACAGTAGCGTTAATTTATTCAGATGTACGGTCGCAGCTCGTTCATTTAGATACTCGTACATCCATTCCGCAAAATGGGCGATCAGTTTCGCTGGTGTGAGTTCGGTGTCCTGCTGCTCTTCTTCCTGCTGATTTTATACTTTTCCATCAGTGTGAGTTTGAGTTCTTGGCCTAAGCAGTTGCTACCAATGCCAATGGAAGTGAATCCGCCAGATAATTGCAGAGATGTGTGGCCCAGAAGCGCCGAAGGAGACTGCCAGTTAGCCCGCCCTTGAGCAGATTCGTTTCCTCGTGTCCCTCGTCGCCGGGATTGAGTAGTCGTCTCAGTTGGACACCAGGTGAGCAGCTCAGGTGGTCCGCAGTGATTTGTGGCATTCACATTGGTGGCGCAAATGTTCTTCCGCCCTTTAAATTGTGTTCCTTTGTTTGGCTACAAATCAATCGCTATGAATTAATTACAAATCGTGTTATGTTCGCGGCTCTACGCATGGCTACGTCAATGCTTTAGAATGTTTATCCACCATAATGCGTTGTAAGACATAAGAAAGAAACTTTTTGGTTATTATTTACAGGTAAAAAGAATATACTTAAATATTTATTTATTATTATTTGTTGGGAATAGGCCATTTTTAAAGCCTAAACCGATTTATTAACCGGTTTTTACTGAATTGCAATATCCTTCTTCTCTTATCCATCTTTCTCTTACACGCTATCTTTTCGATTTCTTAGCTAAGGCAAGATAGTTTTTCTTTAAGTATACAAGCTACAGATAAAAATTTAATTAAATCTTATCAACTCGAATTCGTTAAATAACACAAAATTTGGTAATCAGACTAGTTGTTGCACTGCAAGAAAATTACAAATGCTTATAACAGAGGTTTTCCAAACGATCCATATAATATTTTGAAAGCGCCTATTGAACTTTTATCTAGAACTTTTGATATTATGTGACATTTCGCTTGCCTAATTAGTTTCGCGACTTTCGCAAGTCACGTGCCCGGCTGACATTATCCGAAGCGCAATTATGCGCATATCTGTCAGATGGAGATACTTTTACAGCTCGCACACAGATAATAGAACGAGAGAACCAGAGTGAGACTGAGCAAGAGTGGCGGCCTATCTTATCGGACTTTGTGCGCCGAGCGCTTATCACATGGCCCTTGACACACCTGTCCGCCGCTCCCCCGATCCGCGCTCTTGTTTTTCCAGTCGGCGATAACTCTTGGCCAAAAGCTAGCGACGCGCCATGATATGACAGTTGGCCTAAGACCTTTTCATGGAGCGAATGCCTAGGACGGTGCTTACATATCCACGGGGAAATACCGCATTCTTCGACCACACAATGTCGAATATTCCGCCCTACTTGGTGTTCTTCTTCCTGGCCTTCGTTTCCTGTGCCGTCACCTTCTGCTGCCTGAGATTCTGCATTTGGGTGTGCTTCGAGGCCAGGGATTCCAGGAGACGCAGCCGCAGACGCAGACGCGGACATGGTACGCTTCAGTCAAAACAAGACAAAATTGACTTACTTTCGGTGGCTATCGGAGGGTATTTTTATATATACGATACTTGGCCAATCAGATGGGTTCCTTGGCCCAGATAAGATTAGCTCCAAATTCGCTCTGCAGAGTTCTCAGTTTTAGCTCGCCATTCAGGTGATTCGATTGTGTGGCTGTTTTTCTGGCGACGATTGACAAAATGGATTTTTTTTTATTCTATGTGGGGCTCTTCTTTATCTTCTTCCTGATCATGCCCATGGTCTATTTCGCTCTTCAGGTGACTGTCCACAAAATTTGTTGATCCTGTCCCTCGCCTAACTCGAACTTTTGTTGGTTAATGTCGTTATTAACCATATACTAATGTTAGGCGAGGGATACAATATTCCCCTTAATGGTTCACTGATGTTCCTTGATATTCCCCCGCAAGTTTATTCTATGGATTATTCTGACCAAGTGCTGTGGAACCAATCCTCGAGGATTTCAAGATCCGGTCGGACGTCGACGTCGACGACAACGTCAGCGTCAGCGACAGCCTTCTGGTATGTATTGATGCATTGAAATGCCTTTGATGGCTGGATGTATTGACGGTTTGATATATGTATTGAGGAACTGATATGCTATGACAAGCAGTCATAGAGTGTGTGTGGGTGGGTTTAATGATCAAGTGCTTCCATAAATCGATAAAGCCTGGAGTGTTTTTTTGTGGACTTTTGTGATAAGCTGAATTCGCCTTGCCAATATTTCAAATCATTTTCTGGGGGGTCAGTCTTCTGAAGAGCTCGTTGCAAAATGGACCTCCTGTCCGCTATCTTTACACGCCTGCTGATCATCATCGTGGTCTATGCAGTCCTACAGGTGATTCTCAGACCCAGCAGTTCCCATCGACGATGATTGGTAATCAAGTTCTGTTCTTATTCTCCCAAGTTCGCTTTTGTTTGGATCTTAAAACGCACCTGCTTTAGACGACGTAAGTTGCACTGCCTTTGGTTTGTGTGTGCAAACCGGACCGTATATATGGTATATCTGATATATGGAGTAACATTTATGGGGCATTGCCAACAAAACATGGCGGACAATCTAATCTTGGGCGACTAATCAATTGCGTGCCGAACGGCAAACTATGGGTAATACTACGGTCTACAAAGCGCAGTTGGCAGCTGTAGTTCAGCATTGATTCCTGCTCCGCGTCGTTCTAAGTCTCATGATGCACGGATCGGAATCCACACTGGATTGGGGCAGCGGCTTCGGCCTGCATATAGCCATCTACTTGGCCCTGGTGTTCTTATTTTTCTGCCTGCTCCCGCTGGCCTGCTACTACATCCGCGTGGAGAGCCAAACTCTGGCCAAGATCTGCCAGCCGCGATGTCGACGTCAGCAGAGGATTCCAGAGCACCATCGTCAGCGATACGACATTGAAATTGGTAACGTGTGCCAATCCGATAGTGGGCAGGAAGCCTATCTAATCGGTTAGGTTGCGACGATTATTTTTTGGCCAGTCTTCGAGAATCGCGGAATGAGTCTGACAGCTAATCTGAGCGTGGCGCTGGGCTTTGTGTTTGCCATATTCGTGGTGGCCCAGCTGATATACGTATGTAGTTAAACCTGGCAGCCAAGCTGAGCTGATCTCACTTGGCAGAACGTCAGAACAGGCAGAAATTATGGAGCCAATAACTGATTTATCTATTTGTTAGCTGGCAAAGCGCATGCACGACTCAATGGCTCGAAATCGTCACCAGATACAAGCTGGTATGGAACATTCCCATTTGGGTCACACTGGGAGAAATACTACCTAACTATATCAGAAACCAGTCAATCAGATTAATTGTGTAGATTGTGTAGGGCAGTGTTTCCAATCAACGAATAACAAAGTATTCGAATGGGTTAATGAAACTGCATAACCTTACATATGTGTATATTTTTTAACTACACACTTCAGATTAAATTTTGTGGTTCCCAAAACTACTCCCCTTTAAACGACATTACCCAAAAATCAGTATGACCTCATCAAGTAATCTCTTTAATGAAATTCTTATCATTCGGCTAAGTTATGTATTTAAATTTAACATTTTACTCACATATTTTCCTTGAAACTTTTGCAGGCCGAAATAGACTCAACGACCCGGAGGATCCATCCTCGAACCACTATGGCGACATATTCTTCATTGAGCCCGGCAGCGTGGAGGCCAACCGCATCCGCGATCAACTGGAAAAGGATGAGAAGGATCTGCCCAGCTACGACGAGGTGATGCGCATGTGCAACCTGACCACCCCCACAGCAGCGGCGGCTGGAATGCCTCTTCCCCAATCGCCCCTCGGCGAACCCGGTCCCATTGGAATTGCGGCACTGCCGGCTCCACCGTACTCGGAGACAGATCCGCATGCCGCACCCGCCGGAGGAGCCACTGTCATCGCGATGGAATCGATGGAGCCATCCACCTCCCGCGCGGCACAGATACCACCCAGCAGCTCCGGATCGGGTCCTCCTGCTCCATTGCCAACGACAACGGTGTGATCCGTCAGAACTATGGAGAAATGGAACTGAAGCATTTGCCGTGCCACTCTGGGCCACACAGATGCCACTTTGTGTGCGCTTTCAGTATAGAAATGAACTTGTGTGATCTTATTGCGTACATAACTATTTAAGTTCTAGAGATTAGGAGTCGCATACTGTAAATACATATTTTTAGGACATAGGATGAAAATTAAAGTGAGTTATTTAATTGAAATAATTGCCGTTTTCCTTTGGGGAAGTTCATCGAAATTAGGTGTCAATATTAGTTAAAATATAGTTTTCCTAAATTAAAAAAAATCTATAAGCCGCGAAACACAAAATTTTCTGTAATCAACAAAAAGTTGGTAATGCTTTTAGATAATCTAGCCGATTTACCAATGATTCATCACTGATTGGCTATACACCTCAGCAATTTGTATAGCTTACGGTAGACAATTTGTATTTATTGTAATAAGTTATCAATATGTGTATATGTTTTCTTATTTTCATATTGTATTGAGAAGTCAACAATTATACAGCTAAGCGCATTGTGAATACCTAGGAAATAAATTATAGGTGGAGTTCAGCAAAATGTTGTAGACTATCACATAGATAAACGGTATTCGTGGGATATAAAGCTATTTACAGAGAATAAATACACTTGTAAGATTATAATAAATAGTTGTACGTAAGTTCGCAACACAATAATATCCAACGAAAAATGCACAAATGAGAAACACAAATCAGGGCAGAGGAGAAATTGTGCAGGGCTTGTCCCAATAAGATTTAAGAACGATTCGAAACGAACTCGTAAACAGCCAAGTTTTAGATTGCATTGCAATGAGCAACATTCAAAGGTTGTAGAAGCCCGATTTTTAAAAAACGCCTCCGATCGTTTCTTTAATCGCTGTTGCTTATCAGCGACTCCTGTTGTTCGTCATCGTTGACCCTAGGTGAGAAATTATGTTTAAACATAATTTAGTTGTTCATGTTGGCAGAATACAAGACTCACCTAACAATGCTTGGCTTATGGCACCGGCAGACTTTTCTATACACAATCCTAAATAGCTTCATCAGGGGATCGGAATCGTCGTTCCGCATCAATAGCGAAACGAACACCAGGGCCACAAAGATGGGTATCGAGCCCATGTAGAACATGGACGAATACGGTTTGTTCTTCAGCAGGACATCAAACAGGATGGCTAGCGGAATCTGTAGCGACATGGCCAGCGTGCCAATCAGTGAGGAGGTCAAAAAGCAGCCCCACAGCCAAAGGGCTTCCGACAGCACAGTGCCAATTAATCCGTTCAGAAACAGAAGCGCAAACTGCCCTTGACTGGGCAGCTCAAAGGTTTCTATTTTGGTGAAGTGGAGAATGAAGAATATTGGCCATAATAGCAGCATATTCCATAGACCGACAAAACCTGAATGGGAGGCAGTAGATAAGCAACCAACAAATTCTGAGTTCAACAATTTTACTCACCGAAGAACAATGGTATATCAACCTTCTCCTCCGTATCGCTTTTTCGCTTCACGAAAACCAGATAGGCAGCATAGAAGAAAGCGCTGAAAAGGGCTAAGAGGACGCCTCTGGTCATCTTTGTATCGTGGAGGTCGTTCATGGTGATGGTCACCACACCGCCAATGTTCATAGCCACCGCAATCACCTTGGTAATGGTCAGCTTGTCACCTGTTGCCGAGGGAAACACGGCTGCCAGGCAGATAATGAAGAATGAGGATGTTGAGCTAACCAGTGTTATCATGGCCGCCTCGTCCATTTCTAGGGCCAACTGAAAGAAGTAATTGGCCGCAAACCAGAGCAGACAAAAGAGTAGCGCCGTCTTTGCCGTTTTGTGGTGGGTCTTTTGCCGCCTAATCCTCAAGCTGGCGGCATACGAAAGCCTCGCCATCAAGGCATCGGTGGCTTCGTGGGCGGACATCTCTCTGACCTCGGCCATCTTGCTGAAGCGCACACTCCTTACACTGGAATCATCGCTTTCGGTGCCCGATATGGAGTTTGAGGTGCCATTGGCTGTGGCTCCTGCACCTAAATGGGGCGATCTGATGGGCACATAGGTTGGGTCTCCCTAGTAGGAATAAAAATGGGTAAAATCTGCTTCCCCATATTATTGTACGTTTGCCTACCAAAACAGCCTGATTGGAGTAATAGTTCTCGTCGTCTGCATTCTGCTCCATCATCTAAGGGTAGAAAAATCATTTAGTACGGTTTACAGTTGAGATATCTAATATCTCACAGCATAGTTTCCATTTTGTCGCTCGCAGGACTCTTTCCAGGGAGCCAGGATACCGATGACTAGTAGGTAAATGCTGAACATGGAGGTTTTGAAGTATGTGCAGAAGAAGGGCTTGTCAAAATTGGCCTCATTGTACAGGAACTGGAAGAGTAAAACAAGGATTAAACCGATTTTTCAATTTATGAAGAGCGAAATTCTCACCTTTGTCAGCTCACTGGAAGAGACCCAAACCACATCGACTAGTACCAGTATTGATATGCCCAACAGGAGTCTTTGCGTGCGACCTAGCATGTTTTTTCTCCTGTTTTTCGAATGTTTTCCAAACGAACTTAGCTTCTTTATCCGCTACTTGGAGGATGTCTTTCTCCTTCGGTTATCTGTTGGCAAATAACTATTTACGCTTGTGCCGCCAGTGTTTCAGTTTCATTTTTGCGGTGTCTTTGGGTTTTGTTTTCCGAAAGTGATAAAAGGTCCGTCGCCAGCAGAATTAAATCTGAATTTCGAACAGATAAACCTTGGACTTTACGTAGTCATTTCAGCTAGAATGGAAGAATGATAAAAAGTGTGTGAGTGCATGGAGTTGGTAAGGAACTGCATTTATTGATTTTTTTTGGACGAGTGGGTGCGGCATTAGTCAAGGCGCAAATTACTATTTAACACGTTTGTATCGAATCGCTTGTGTCAGGTAGTAGCAGTTAGATTAACAAAGCCATCCGTCAATTAACATCTGATTCAGCAAATATCTCCATCCAATTAGGGATTATCGCCGATCGTGGTGATCGCTTAAGTGTAAACAAATTAGCCAGATTTCAGGGGGACTGACTGATAAGATATGTGGCTTGGAAAACCAATTGTTTGGTAGGTAAATAAGAATACATTCGCCGAAGGAGTAGAGGGGGAGGGGCGGTGTGGGTGGCAGCTTGTTGATAACAGGCCAAAAACAAAATCAATAAACACAGCCAGCGATATGGAGGCTGAAAAATTCAGCAAGTCTACTGGTCATCCCTAAATTCTGTTGTTATGCTTGGCAGTTTTTTAATTTCTGCCGTTTTTTACCACTCGTTTTTACCTCTTTTGAAGGCGGAACTCCTTCCCAGTGCCGCAAATGTTTTCTATGTTTCTTGTTCAGCGAAAACAATTCTCTTTGTTTTTTATTCACTTAGATTTGTCTTAACTTAAGCGGGAAGTTAACTTAACTCTCATGTTACACTCTCCGGAGTAATGTGCGTTATAATACTGATATTCTGATTATGATTTTTTATCCGCACAGCTGGACAGAGCTGTTATTAGAGGTGGCACAACACAAGGCCCAATCGAAACTATCGATGTTTCCAATTCTATAGAGCGCATCGATTATTTCTTCCACTATGTGTTGTGAAGGCGCCCAATGTACTTATATTAAAAGGTGGCAGCGCAGGTGCGGGATGGGATTCCATTGAAAAGAGTGGCAATATGGATCGAACCGCCAAAACCATTGGTATTTAAAAAATTTCAGCCTTTATAATATTCGAAGCAATAATTACTGAGTTTAACCAGTTAAGCAACTAAAATTCGTCCCTTATAAGTTGATACACGCAGCTTACACGAGGTCCTGCTTAAGTTTCACGTTTCCAATATTTGCTCACATTGATGTCTAAGGAAAATTCCAATAAAAACTCAATTTGTTGATCCAAGGAAGAATATTTATTCCACGCTTTGTGCAATACACTTATATAAATACATTATACATGTAATACAAAATATTTTTGCTCCTCTCTGAGTGTGTGTGTAAAACATGTTGCAAAATTTGTCGGGTTAGCACAAAGATTCAATAATATATTAATTATAAAGAAATTTAAATGCGTTCGATTTCAGTTTTGAAGTATTCGATCGTTCAAGATTGCGTTATTTCTTTTTTTGTTTTCTTTTTTTATTTTTGAAGAGTACATAATTTTGTGTTTTTGGTATTCTTTTGGGTACTTTTTAGCCAGCATGCACAGACTGAAATGAAGAGAAGGAAACGTAAAGTGAATCGAAAACAGGGAATCAATATCGCAAAACAAGGCTCAAATCAAACGAAGGTAGCAAACGAAAGCCGCGTCCTCTTGTCTACAAAGTCTTTTGATTGCCATTTGTTTTGGTTTCGATTGGGTCGTCATTCTTCACCTCGACGAGCTCCGAAGTTAGATAAATTCAGAATTGGAACGTACCCGAGCAATGTCCACGCCGGTTATGTTCTTGACCAGCTCTGGCACTTTGTTGACGATCGAGAGAACCTCGCCGGTCAGTTTGGCAGCACCGATATCGCCAGTTCCGCTGGACACCATCGTGATCTTCTTAGCCTGCGATAGTGGAGCAGCCACCTCGGCGGCCACCTGCGAATAAGATTCAACATAGACTCAATTATACAATCTCCTAATCTAACTTTTGTCCCTACCTTTGGCAGTGTGTCCAGGAGCATCTCCACCATGGCAGCCTCGCGGTACTCGCGGTAGGCCTCTGCCTTCATGGCCATCTGCTCGGCCTCTGCTTTAGCCTTGGCCGCAATGGCAAAGGCCTCCGCCTCACCACGGATCCTGATCTGTTGCGAAGAAAGGGAGATGCATAAGTTGGTCATAGTCTATGAGCTAATATTCAGATGGTATCTAACCGATTCGGCCTCCGCCTCGGCCTCCATGACCACGCGCTGCTTGTTGGCCTCGGCCAACTTCTCGATGCGGAACTTCTCTGCCTCGGCCGGTCGGCGAATGGTGGCCTCCAGCTCTTGCTCGCGGCGCATGATCTCCTGCTCCTGGACGGCAATCTCCTGTGTGCGCTCGATCACCTTCACCTGCATCTGCTCCTCCTTGATGCGCTGCTTGGTCTTGGCCGCCTGCAACTCGTAGGCCATCTCGGCCTCGGCCTTTTTGGTCTGCACTTCCACATCGTAGGCGGCCTTCTTCAGCTCGAAGTCGCGCTGCGCCTTGGCAATATCGGTGTCGTTTAGAAACCGTGCGGCCATGCGCTGCTCCTCAGCAATGGCCTCCTTAATGTGGGCCTCAGCGCGGGCCTCAGCCTCGCCAATGCGGGCATCACGCTTCACCTCCGCCGTGCGTGCCATACCCAATGACCGCAGGTAGCCCTGAAAAAGCGAATTGGGAGCGGGGTGTTAGTATCCCGAGGGTCACAATAGGAGCAGAACATAATGGACGTGTCCCAATGATTCCACACACAGGCGGTTGAGCGGGCATACGCACCTTTGAGTCGCCCTACAGAGCATCCATGTGGACATGCAAGAAATATATATATTCACATATATACAAGAGGTTATTCGATAAAGGGGAGCTTTAAGCCGGTGCACAGTGATGGGATGAAGGTACAAAAAGACTTGGTAAATTAAATAAACAACAAACTATATCTTCGTAGCAAGACTACCATCTAGTAAAATACAGAATTCATTCCCATCACTGCTGATGATTGGGTTAGTTGTGCGGGGATTGTGATTAGAACTAATCGCTTGGAGCTACGCACCTCCTCATCGCGCAAATCCTTGATGGTGTAGGAAACCACGGTTATTCCCATGTTGGCCAAATCGCTGGAGGCCACCTCAAACACCTGCTTGCTGAACTTCTTGCGGTCCTTGTAGATCTCCTCCACGGTCATCGAACCCATAATAGCGCGCTGATGTCCCTCCAGGGTGACCAAGGCGATGTGGTTGATCTCTGCCTCTGATTTGCCCAAGAACTGCTCGCAGGCGGTCAGCAGCATGTCCTCGTTCTGACCCTGGACCTTCACCTGTGCAATGCCCGTCACTGAGATTGGAACTCCTTGGCTGGTGTACACGCAAGGACTCTCCACCTGCAGGGTCATCGTGTTCAACGAAATTCTGTAGAAGATTAGGCGACATTAAACATCTGATGACTTGTAATCTTAAGGCAGGGATTCAAATATTAAGCCACAACCATTAACTGATGCTTAAACATTAATTTCTTTTCATAATACGGAATTATTGATAATTTAGAAGCTTTTCACTTCAATGGATTTGGATAAACCGAATTCGTGCGAATAACATTTTATGTGAATGCCCGCGCTTTTAAGCGTTTTCATAACCTGTGGCTTTACGTAGGAACCTCTGGTCTAAGCCGGTCGATACTCACCGCTGAACTTGCTGACCCACTGGCCAAACGAATGCTCGGCCTCCCGGCACCAAAAGCGGCTTCATATAGCAGCACCCTGCGCAGAAAACAAACAAAAAACACTTTGTTTACAAAACATTGCAGCATTTGGATTACAGCATCGCAACGCCGTTCGAATGCGCACGCACGGCTTCGGACTGCCGCATATTCTGCTTCTTTCCCTGTTAACCCCACAACAACATTTGCGGTACACAAAAATCGATAGTGACGTCACTCGGGGTGGGGTGTATGTGTGTGTGTGCGTGCCAATTTATTTTCACTGACATATTTAATTAATAGATTTGACATTATTTTGTGCACTAAAAGGACGTGTGATTTACCAGAGACAACTAGAGCCTCATTGGGGCCGCAGGTCACAAATCCCCAAGTCATTTCCGTATCACTTGTTCGTTATTTGTTCCCGAGAATCGGTTGCTGCTGATAACACAGCCGTTTGTTTTATCTGCGTAGTTAACACAGTTTTTGTTTTATTAACTATGTAGCGAATTATCCGATCCACAGGTAGCGTCGTTTATCCGTCTAATAATACGTATAAAAGAATTTCCGAGCTACTCGCTCTACTTAAAATTCAAAAGTCCGACCGGTTCGGCTAGCAATTCGTACAACAATAAAAGAATCTCTCAATCTGTAAAGTTCTCAATTTTCCGACTCGCGAGTGCGCAGAACGACTTTAACCCTTATTGAGTGCCGGGGGTTGAGTCGACCACTTCAAAATATCCATCATGCTGCGACGACGTAGTGCTGCGGTAAGTGTCTTTATTGGTTTAAAAATCTAGGTTACAACTCAATTTTTTGATTCTAATTTACTTAATGACGCATGTCAATCAGAAAGATCGGAATTCTTAGGAATCCACAACGAATTTTATCAGAAGAACTTCGGTACTCTTGTCCTACTCATTAAATTTGGAAACCATATGCATTGCCTAGTAAACAGAAACTAGGATTTCAAATATTTCTTGCACCTTCACGCAAACAGTAGATATCGTCTGGGAATTTGAACATTTTTTCGGATCTTATCGATATACTCAACAAAAACATATTTAAAAATAAAACGATTTTACTGAATCAATTAGTGTTTTAAAGATAAAGATTAATTTGGCAGCTAAAATGGCTATATTAGGTGTCACATTGGTAGAGATTGTCAACAATCAAACCGCTTTTGCTTTGGTAAATAATACAAACGAAACTATAAAAACATTTTATCTTAGCCTATTATCGACCTCTACTGCATGGACATACATATATAATTAAACGATCTGTGGAGACTGCGCACATGCCTTGCTGGACAAGGTCTTGGGTTTGGGCTTAAGTCTTATCGAAGATCGTGAAAACAGGGGCTTGTTTAGAACCATCCGACCTCAGTGGCCCGATGAACTGCTGTCCGTGAAGTAGGGATGCTGCATCGCTGCCTCCGCGCTAATTCGCTGATTTGGTCGGCAGATGAGCAGCTTTTGCAGCAGGTCGCGTCCTTTGGAGTTTAGCCTAGGTACCAGTTGACTCCACGAGGTGATGGCCGGAAAGGCTATAACGTAAACAGGGTTTTCATATTAGTGGCATATAATAATGGCGCTAGATGGCTCTGGAGGCCTTACATGGAAGCGCCACGTAGTCGGAGAGGTGCGAAACGCCTGGCCAGGAGTCTTCGTTGGGGGTGCCCAGCACTCGGAAGATCTTCATCAGCTGGTCGAGCACGTCAGAGCCAGGGAACAACGGTCGCCCAGCGTCCGCCAGCTCGGCCAAAATGCATCCAGCCGACCACATGTCTATGCTGGTTGTGTACAGCTTGGCTCCAAACAGGACATCGGGTGGTCGGTACCATAGGGTCACCACCTCCGCGGAGTAGCACTTGACGGGGATGCCAAAGGCTCTAGCCAGACCAAAGTCAGCCAGCTTCAGTTCGCCGTTTTTGTTGATCAGCAGGTTCTGTGGTTTCAGATCGCGATGCAGGACATTATGGCTGAAATAGGATAATGCAGTGTAAGTTAAGTCGGAATTTCGTCTGATGGGCAGTGGTATCTGCTATCTGTGACCTCAGTGCTCTAAAAAGGACATAATAGGTCTTGTGGGAGCCAAAGGATTTCTAGGCATTACTCCAACTCTCCACAAATTAAGGTGATTCCAAGGTGACAAGAGACAAGATAGCATCTATTACACATATGTATGTATGGATAGGTATACCTGTGGCAGAAGGCCAGACCGCGGAGCAGCTGGAGCATAAAGCTCCGGCAGACGGCCATGTCGATCTCCCCGTTGAGGCTGTCAAAGTACTTCTTGAGGTCCTGGTCGCAGTGCTCGAAGACCAGGGTGAGTTTCTTGTCCGAGTGCAGGACGTCTATGAGGCGCACAATGTTCTTGTGCTTCAGCTCCTGCGGATGGGAATGTGCCAAGATTTAGTTTCCACTCTGAAATCACTCCCTGCTCGTCCGCCTTACCTTCAGCAGGCAGATCTCCCGGAGGGCGGAACTGGGCACACCCTCGTCGTCCTCGTCCAGTCGCACCCGTTTCAGGGCCACTATTTCCATGGTGTCGCGGTTGCGGCCCTTGAACACCGTGCCATAGGTGCCCTCCCCGATCTTCTCCATTTTATCGTACTTCTGCATCTTGGTTTTGGTGTCGATTTTATGCGTTGAGATGCAAAACTCCGGGGATTATTATTTTTGCAGTTTGTTTTTGCTGGCCAGCGATTCGTGCGCCTAACAGCACACTGTTAACAGCCCACAGCACGCGTGACTAACCATCAGTGCAGCTGACGTTGGCTGTCACCAAAAATACCAAAATGTTACAGATTTAACTAAAAAAATTTTGAAAAACTGTTTTTAAATGTTGGAATTGTTTAATTGGGGAACCTAGGAAACCCGACATTAGCTAAAACATACAAAAATAGATCAGCCTAATATGCATTGAACTCAAGCTATTACAATGCAACAGTGTAGCAGTCATACATAGATAAAAGTTGTTTAATTTAACAAATTATTGATATGTACATATGAACATAGGTCTTAATGAAACACATAAAACTAATAAATGTTTACAAACGATTTCTTTTACTCTTTGCAGAATACCAAGTTTGGTTTGCTACGCCTGCCCGATGATGTTCTTATTATAATTCTAAGTTATCTCGACTTAAGGACTCAGCTAAAACTGAAACACTTGCATTTGCGGTTTAAAAGATTAATGCCGCATGTCTGGCGTTCTTATAACAAATCTGCACTTATATCCTTGATTGAAATGCAGCTGAGCGACAAGGATCTGCGTTTCTTTCTGGAAAGTACTCAACAAACCCTCAGTACCCTACGTTTTAAAATGAATAAAAGATCAAACTTCGAACTCCTTACTAGCTACAGTTTTCCAAATCTTAAGGATTTTCGCTTCTCAACGCATTCGTTTACGTTGAACGATGCGGACTTGCCTAAAATGTTGAAGACTTTTCCAAATCTGACAACTTTCAGCCCACATGGAAAGTTTACTGGCAAAACCTTTGAAGAATTTGTGTTTCTCGAGCACCTCACGGTCTCCTACTGCAGCAAACTCGAAGTCACCAACTTGATACAGATCCTGAAAACCAGAAATATAAAATCCCTCAAGCTGGGAATCTTTGATTTTAACCAGATCTCGAATATAAAACTGCCCTGGGAAGGGATTAGAAATCTGGAGTTCTTGCAGTGCTACCGCGAGGAAATGTTGATGTGGTTTCTACCGAAACTGGAACATCTTACACACTTGAAGAAGCTATTTCTGTGTGGTCACGTTAGCTACAGCGATCTGAGACAGATGCTCTTATCTGCCAAGAAGCCCACCATTGATATGATCGAAGTAAACCAATTTACATCCCTCAATGATGAAACTCGCGGCCTAAATCTGACAGTTAAGATCCTCAAAGTTTCCAATTATGGCATGTCAGCATGTGCACATATCAGCATTAATGTCAAGGAATTGTATATGCGAAATTCGGTTTGTGTGTACGAATGGGAGTTTGATGCTTTAATACAAAACCTTAAAACACACGAGACTCTGGGCCTATCCCGCTGCACTTTTGGATTCAAGGAGTTCACATTCGATGCAGAGAAATTGGCGGAAAACCGTACCACAATACTCAATATTTATGTGGATCAAAACAGGTGTCGCCCTAATATAGTAACGTATTCACGGTATATATCTCCGCATGATGACGTTCCCATGATCTGGAGAGTGCAAGGGGAACATAGGCTTTTCAAGCTGCACTTCGAGCACCCAAAAATCACTTTTAACTCCGATCCCATTTCAATTTACTTTGATTCGAGTGCCAATGATCTAGTTGGTTGAATAAGGTCTAATTTGATTGGACGATCCCAGCTCTCTGACCGATCTCAGTGAATAACTATTGGAAGATTGGTGAGGTTATTGAAAATATCCTTTACATATTTGCTGATCCTTAGTGGCTTCCAGGAGTTCTTCAATGCAGGCCGACCAAGAAGCTGCAGAGGATTGGGGTTGCAAAAGGATTAAGTTATAAAATAAAGGCTTAGTTTTATTGAGACCGGGAGTTGTGTTTTTGTGAACTCATTTCAGGAGTACAGCTCAAATTCAGTGCGCTCCGCAACCGTCATCGGTTCGACGACCTGCAGACAGGCATTCGCGAACTCCACAAAGAGTGGCTCCTGCATGGCGGCCATCATGGCCGACTGGGCATTGATGGCCACATCAATCTGCTGGAGCAGCGAACGCAGGTGAGGATTGTGGAGCAAATTGCGAAGGTCCTGGCAGCTTTCTGTGCGAAAAACCATCATATTGTGAGAACAGCGTGAAACTACGATCTTAGGCACCTACCTAATTGCTGGAGCTTCTCCGCGGCAACTGTGTCATCGGTGGGGAAGGGCACATGGAGCGTAGGTTCCTCCTGGTAGCCAGCTTCAGTAGTTTTCAGCTCGGCCTCCCTTGTGGCGCATTGGGGCGAGTCCCTGTGTGCCTTGTAGCAGGCCACAGAGCAGCTACATTATGTGGCATATATTATCTCGGTACTGAACTGTTGGAAAAGCTACTTACTAGGGGGCCGAGCATTTGCTGCACTTGTATTTCCGCAAGTTATCCACGCAATTAATGCAACCTTCCATCTCGTCAAATTCAATGTCGCGTGCAAAATAGAACTCAGCTGTGCGGGTTTTACACCCTCCAGCCTTTGACACTCGCCAGGGTTCCAGGCCGTTTCGGGTCCGCCTGAACGGCGCTTTGTTGTTGGCGGTAGAGAATCAAAAAGTTAATTGCAAACCGCAAGCAGAAAAATAATAAAATGCGTATAAGATCGCGTGGCTGCATGATAATTTAGTTAGAAAACTAAACTAGTGGAGTTCTACGCTGAGAGTGTTATACATACATTGAAATTAATCCCATAGCATAGGCAGTTCGTTTCGTAGCTGCCAGCCTTCGTCACCCGCTGATTCCTATTTTTGGCGCCATTATTTTTATTTGAAACGGATTTGAAAAATTAGCTAATTGAGAATACGTTTTCCTTTTATCAGCACTTTTATGAATTATGAAAAATTATGAACTAAAACAATGTTTATCGATGATTTGTATTCTCTTCAGAGAATATATTTCCCATCTTCTACATCAAGATTTTGTGCATCGACTCCTTCCATCTAAATTTGAACTCCGTGGCATTAGTTGTTTGCTGTAGCGAACAGATGTACACATGTATTTATTTGGAAACGTTTAAATATTATCAGAAGGGTTAAGTATATAAAACCATACGATTAGCGGAGTGTTTGGTCAGATTAAGGAAGACATAGAGTCGTTCTGCCCTTTTCCGGTTACGACTGGCCTTATTTGATTGTATGTATCCTGTGTATCCGGTCTGTTTGCCTTGGCCAGTCTCATTTATGGGCCATCCCGGGCACGTCATCTTCCGTGAGGCTTTCGAGCAAACAAACGAGGGACGCTTATCATGGCCCTCCCATTTTTCCGCCCCAAAACCCCCGCTCCGCCCCTCCGGCGATGGCAATGCGCAGTCTGAAGCCACCTGGCGAATTAACCGAGAATTCGACAATCGCGAGGGGAGCAATCAAATGACGGTCGACGTGTCCGCAAATTGTAAACATATCCTGCACACGGAACGTACTGAACCGGAACGGTCCTTCCCGGGAAGGAGTCGTCCAGATCCGCTCCAGCTCCAAAGACAAGTACAGTTAACCAGAAGTAAAAATAAGTCAAATGGTACGGCTCGATTGGCGAACCGAAGACTGCAATGCCCTTCCATATAGAGCTTTGCATCTAATGCGAATATCCGAATAATAGTGTAATAGGATAATTTGCAATCAAAGTAAGTCGGATTGCAAATGAAACTCCCATTTAAATGGCAATAGTAAATAAATCAAATATACATTTCTAGTTGTGAGCCACTGAGGATGGGGAAATAATGATAGCCCTTGTAGCAATGCAGCTATAACTCCAAAAGTGAATGACTTATATATCACAACTAATCTTCGGGGATCCTTTGTGTCCTGCTCTTAGCCGGAGTTATAATAACCGCTGCGAGGGTAGAGCAAACAGCGAGAAACTTTTGGTGGCAATAAATGACTTCAATGACTGACTGACTGACCGGAAGGGGTGGTCTAGGTGGCTATATGGCTATATAGGAACGGATTTTGTTTTTTTTTTCTGTTTCTGTTACCATATTTTGGGGGACTTGTAGCCGGGACTGGTTGTTGTTATTTTCAATCGTTTTTGCTTTGTTTTTTGAGCGCTACCAATTGGATTGCACAAAGAAAAACGAGTGGTACAAAAGAAAGCAAAGGATGCCGGCTAACAAAAGGATGGGGCTGCGGGGAATCGGACCGGGTAACATGATGTGGCGCCTCTGCCGCTTCCGCTGTTCGTGAGGCACAAGCGCGATAATTGCCAGCGTTATCCGCTCGGCCTGCCAGTCAAATAGGCGCAGCAGCAGAGCAGCGCTGGAAAACAGGGGCTATCAGGGGTGCCAGCGGTTCAGGGGGCTATGGGAACTGCGGGGAGTACGGGGGGCAGGAAGAGCCTTCGTGTGACTCGCCTACTTTTGATTTACAACATTCGTGCAACATCAGCAGCAGTGTATCGCCAAAAGGAAAAGGGGCGACCAATGCAAACAGCAAGAAGAAAAGCGAGACACACGCCACCGAATGGGGCGCACGTTTTCGCGGGGAGGGAGGGGAGGGGCAGTACGAGTAGTTGCATTTTCCGAGGGCAGGTGTCGTTCGTTAGGAGTTTTCAGCGTTTTTCAGCATTCCCAGCTTTTCCCAGTTACCAGCTAGCCGCCAGCGAAAAAGCCAAAAGCGATATTAATAGATAGCGGCACTTTTCGCTTCGTTTTTATCGCCCGAAAAGCCAAACGAGGAAAACTCTGGAAGGCAGAAAGGAACGGGGGTAAAAGATAGTCCTGGCAATTGGGCAGATTGACAGATCATGCAATCGTAGTGGCACAGCGCTTATAGTGCATATAATGAATATTAAATTACATGCAACACATCTGCCTTTGGCAGTCGAACTTCCTCAACGCGAATGTACTTGTGCCACAAGGAAAGCTTCTTGTGGAAAGCACTATTTTAAAAAACTAACCACAATGTTTAGAACCCGTAGATATGGGTATACCATTTTTTGATAAGTAGGGGTGGGCATATTTCGAAGATCCTTGAGCATACATAATGGTTGTTTCCGGCATAGCGAAGATCGCCTGTAGTCCTTCCAGGTAGTCGGATTCATATTGGGTGCCGGCAGGCATTCAAACGCGACATCTGTCAGCCCGTTCGATTGAAATTGGCCGGAGTATTGGATAGTGGACTAGTGGGTCATCAAATGGATTCGAAAATAATTCGAAATGCCGAACGGATGCCGGGGAACATTAACTATCAGCAGGGGACTACGTTGGGGCTGCGAGGACTATATGAATTCCAATGGCTTGTAATTTATAACGCAATCACGTGCCACATTCGACGGCGTCGAGCAGAGGCGCCAAAAATATGAATATATATATGAAACGAGAGCGACTAAATAATTTGGAAATGATTTACAATACGACCGGGACGAGAACGGCCGGAGGCACAGCGATTCCGGAGGTTCATAAATCTAACTGCATGACGAAAAGATGCAGTCCTCGAGTCCACTGGAATGGAGTTTGCTGTAGTTCCTTGGGGCGCCTCGCCGAAATGTGCTAAAATTACAGGCTGCAGCCGGGAATGATGCATGACTGGCAGGCGAGAAAAGTGGGCAGCGGAGTGGCCGAGTGGGCATACCCGAAAATTGTCATATAAAAATGCGACCCCGTGGCGCTAATTCGGTTATGTATTGTCAGTGGGCCTAATCTAGCGGGAAATGGCCTTTGGCGGCCGAGCAGCCGGAAGGGGCATTCCCCCACACTCCCAGCGATGCTGAGGCGATAATTGCAATGGCAGTCATTTCAATTTGCCCGCTCCACAATCCGCTGTCCGCTGTCCGCTGTCCAGCATCCGCTCCCGGCGAGGCCGCTTTGATGGATGGCAGCGGCCTGCAGTCCGTTGCTGTTGTCAAGCATTTGGCGCCTTGGCCATTTGTCTTTCCGCCGCTGTGGCTCTAGTTGCTCCTCCTCGATCCTGCTGCCCCATCTCCTCCAGCTCGTGCTGCAGATATCGCTGCTCGTCCTAAGGGGTAGCTCCACTCATTTGTGGCGTTTGACGGGCAGGCTGGGATACTCAGAAATGGGTGTGGAATATTATAGAAAAGGCCTCAGTAAAGTGCTTGATTTTGAATGTAGTCCTTTAAATCGGTAGGCAACTTTGAGCAGCGTGTCTTACGTAAAGTGGCATATTGAGGTAAGCCGCGCTGCAACTTTGCCACACACTTTTCCACGAGTGAAATGGATCCGGGAACTGTTAGGGCAACTAATCGCTGCCTTGGGCAACGAATACTTGTTACATGCGCCGGGTTTCTATTTTGACTTTGGCCACTTCTTTTTTTGTTTGCCGCTCGGTGCTCGCTGCCTTAATTAAAAAGCTGCAGGCCGCTTTAGAAGTTGCACCGCGAAGTGCAGGGGGAGCAGTTGGAGGCAAGTAGCGGGTCCGTTGGGGTATTTATGACTTGGCACGCAACGGACGGAGCATGATTTACGGTTTCTACGGCTACGGTTTATTGAGAGGCGCCACAGGCAGCGGCGGATGCAATAGAGGCGAAACAAAGCCAGCGCCAAGAATTGGCCGCATTGGCCCATCAATCATTAGGAGCTGTCCATACCTTGGCGTAATCCTTTTTGCGCCGCCCTTTGGAGTGTGGAGTGCGGAGTGCTCGGAGAGCTCTGCGTCTAAATCCCGGCTATCTGTAAAGCCCCATCCCGAAACCAGGACGCAGGCAGCAGGCAGCAGGACTTTCGACTGGGCTCGATTGGCTCGAATGGCTTTATGGCCGCATTATGCTTAATAAAGCACTCACAGCCACTGGGTCTTTATTTTTATTTCTATGCATCGCCAGCGGCATCCATGTCGGCGTTTTATCTGCGAGTCATAATGGGAACTGGCGACGCTTTTACAGCCTCGCAGTGTTGCGTGATTTATGTGATTACTTCGATGCGGCGGCGTTGCGACAAAAGTTGAAAAATATAAAAGCGATTTGAAGCACTGGCAAGCCCCCGCCCACTTGCCACTGCACACATTTTGCGGTCGAAGCGTGTCAGTGGCGAAAATAAATATGCATAAATATGCTGCTGCAGTCCGCTTCGCAATTAACACTTGCCCCCAAATGTAGGCAACACTCTTTGTAGAGGCGGCAGCGCCGACCGCTAATGAGCCGCCCGTCCAGTTGATATTCAATTTATTTTTAAAACGGCCAACTGCCGCGTTATTAACTCTCCTCCTGGCGCTTTCGTTTTTTTCGCTTGTCCCTGCCGCAGTGGCACAAAATAATTTTCCCAATTGGGCATAAGTCCTGCGGTTGAACAGCCTGCCCACTGCGCCCCCAGCCTGCCACGCCCCCTCGCCGTCTGTGCGCAAATTGAAACACTCGCAGATCCTCTCGTCTGCAGCGGCCTTTATGCAACCCGGCGGAGTCCACGAGAGTCCACTCACTCATGAATGCATTTACATGGCCGGCTTCAACTTGGCCGCCGGCGCGGCTAAAAGCTTCGGCACTAATAAAAAAGGTTTTAATTTGTGTTTTATGTAGCCAGTTCTTAAATATCAGAGAGCGAGTTAATATTCGGTAGTATGCACTTAGAAGAAGTAGGCCAAGTGCTACTAAATGGTAAATTAGCTAACATAACTTTAGAAACCCCTACTACTTTCCAATATATCGCGCAGCAAAATGCAAGAATGTCTGAAATGTCGTACAACACATCTGTAGTCACAGAATATTTTCCAAATATACACAC